CTGGCCGCCAAGCTGTGGGTCATGCTGGGCTGCACTCCGGGAGCTCTGGGGGTGCCATGCGTCAGCCCCTTCCTCACTGGGATCTTGATTTCCTGTTCAGTTTAAGGCTCCAGGCAGTGGGAAGGTTTGAGCACAGGCCACTGGAGGGATTGGGGCGATGAGTCGCAGAGGGCAGGAGGCTGGGCTGGGGCCAGGAGATGCACCCTGAGGTCCAGTCCAGCCAGAGCTGAGGGCTGGTCGCATGACCTTCAGAGAGTGTGGGAACAGGATGGGTTCTTCTTAAGTGTCCCTGGTGTGTGCTGGGGCTGGGTAGGTGGAGAGACCCAGGCTCTGAAAGATGGAGGCAGGTGCTCAGGGAGGCCGAGCCTGGGTTCAGACTCACATTCCTCCGCCTCCCTCCTCGTGAGCTGTGGCCTGGGCTAAGGGAGTGGAGGGCACTCTGCCATTCACTCCCTGTGGGACCCCGGGCCACAGTTTCCCTATCTGTACCCTCAGAGGTGTGGACTGGGTGAACTCTGGCCCCTTCCAGCCTTCAGTTTTGGAGATAGAGTCTCTGAGTAAAGGTGTGACATAGACATGACCCCACCTTCCTAGCTGTGTGATCTTGGGTAATGGTCTTGGCCTTCAGCTTCTTCATCAGTAACATGGAGATAATAATTGTACCTGGAGGTGACCGTGAGGCTTGTTTAAGTGAGGTTGTGCACGTGATGCTCCTAGGAAGGGTGCCTGGCACATGGTGCACGCTCGGTCCATATTAACTGCTCTCTTAGTGTTCTTACCCTCCTCCTCCTCCATCATTGTCTGCCCTGCTGCTGCGTGGCCGTGGACAGAGAGCCCTCGGACACTGCCATCCGAGGGCGTCTGCAGGGTGGGGAGGGAGAGGCTGCGGGGGGCGAGAGCAGGTCCCCGTGGTGTGGTGGGGGCACAGCTGGTGCTGGGGCGGGGCCCTGAGCACTTTCTGGAGGTGGAGAAAATGAAAGATGGAGGGCAGTCCATCCCTGTCCCCCACATCGCAGCTGGCTCTTTGGGTGAGAGCCTTGCGGGATGAGGTCCCATGGCCAAGCGGCCCAGGAGGCGGGGATCCCGAGGCCCGGCTGCCTGGAACCAGAGCTCAAGGAGGGAACGCAAGTGACGTCTGGGGAAGAGATGGCATTGGAGACAGCGAGGGAATGAATAGGATTCAGGAGGCTGAGGAGGAGCGGGGGAGGGCGACTGGCTTCGGTCCGAGCCTCTGCGTCCTCATCTGCACGATGGGGACAATCCTTGGGGGAAGGTTAAGTGGTGCTTTCTATTTTACGTGTATATGAACGCCCGACATGGTGAACGCCACCCAGAAGGTGACCAAGCAGTGTGCCTCTTCTCCGTTCTCGTATCCAGCACTTTAAGGAAGAAAAGTTGGAAGTTTCATGAGCCAGTGGGTCAGGGCGGGCAGGGGTGGCTCCCAAGGGATTCAGGCCGCCTCAGCCCTGGCTGGAGTTACCTCTGTGCTCTGGGGCCTTCATCTCCCCACCTGTAAAATGGGGCGGGGGGGGGTGGGGTTCTCTGTAGCGTCACAGCCTACAGTGTGCGTGCCTTTGCTCAGCGGGGGCCAGGTGGGAGAGCCGGCTTATGGGACACGCTGTCGACCAAGCCCTGGCCCCTAGCAGGTGTGTCTCCTTCTGAATGGCTCCTCCCTGGCCTCCCTGCTGCCCATCTTTGCTTCTGTGGGTGCCTCTGCCCGAAACACCCATCCTTACTGAAACCTTATTCCTGCAGGCAGATCCAGGGCAGGGGAGGGGACTGTCCCTGGGACACAGGTGTTGCAACTGAAGCGGCTGCAACTTGGTTGACCAGTTTGCGGTTAAGCTGCCTGCTCCCTCCGGGGCTGGGCTGCAGCGAATGCGGGGACGTCTGTGGCCCCTTAAGAAGCCCATCGCTGCTGTCCTTCCACCCCAGTCAGCCAGAGCAGCTGAAGGGCACAGCTTTTCTGCACCGTCAACGCTGGCGCGAGCAGAGCCAGCCCTTCTCACCGCGGTGTGGGCCGCGGATTGGGTCTGTCAGGCCGGCTGCCGCGGGCACGCGGGGCTCTGTCCTAGGTCGTCCAGGAGCAGGCCTGCTGGCTGCCTACCCATCCCGGCTTTGGAAGTCACAAAGGCCCGTGCAGTCATTGGTGCGAAGCTCATCTGTCGGGATGCGGCTTAGAAACACCAGTGAGATGTGGGGCCTCTCCAAGTGCGGTGTGTGGTGGCGGGTGGGCGGGGGGTGCTCATTAGGAATGCAGTGTGTCCGCCCCACCCCAGACCTCCCCAACCCGGACAAGATCCCCAGGGGATTGCTGTGCCCATCACAGCTTGGGCCTTGCTGCTGCGTTAGGGCGCGGGCAGCGCTTGAGTCCCGTCCCGGCTTACTAGCTGTGCGACCTTAGACAAGTTACCTCACCTCTCTGAACTTCAGCTCTTGCACCCGCAGGATGGATTTGGGGAAGAATTCTCCACCCGAGCAGGTTAATAATACTTCACATGAAAGCCAGTGAGATGCGTGTGAGGCCCTGAGCTCGGAGCATGGGATGCAGACTGAGCTGGCCCGTCAGGGGTTCTTGCTCTTGCTACTGTCTGGAGATCCAAAGGCCTGGCTCGTGTTTTCGCTCCGGCCTGGACTCGGGGCAAGTCGCTTTCCTTCTCTGGGCCTCCTTTTCCCTGTCTGTACCATGGGTCTGTGGAGCCCTGCGGCACCTCATCAAAAGGTTGCTCGAAGGAAAAGTGAGAGGGGCCGGGTCTCATGTCTGGGAAGCGGGTATGTGGGCGTGAGAGGCCCCCTGGGTGCCCTCACCTCCGCCCCTCGCTGCCCCCTTCTCTGCGGCTCCTGCTGTTGCTGAAGGCAGGCCACAACCCTTCCCTGCACCTGCTCAGCTCAGCGGCTTGGAGCTGAGTCCCCTGCCCCCCCCCCCCCCCCCCCCGAGCAGCAGGGCCAGGAGAGATGATTCAACTCGGACCCGTGTTCTGGGCCTTGGCCTCCCTCAACAGAGGCCCCAGAAGCCCCGTGCTGCCGGGCAGGTGGAGGGCGGACTGTGAACTTCTCCCCACCTGGGATCCCTGTCTCCCAAGGTGCGGTGTCTCCCCCCACACCTCAGGGATCCCTGTCTCCCACTGGACTCCTGGCCTTGCCCCTGACGTACCGGGTGACCTCGGGCAAATTGCCTGTACACTCTGGATCTCAGCTTCCTTATTTGTACAGTGGGGGTACTCCGTGAGATGGTCTCACCTGGGTTTGACCCTTAGGTTCTCTCACTGCCCCTCCTCAGCTTCCTCTGTGTCCTTCATCCCTGGTAGGAGCCCCAGCCCCCCTGCCCCCCAGGTGCTGGACCCTGGAGCCTGTGGCAGATCTAGGCCTGGCTGCAACGCCAGGGGGCTGGTAAAGACCAGAGGGAATGAGGGAGAAGGGGAGCGTGCGGGGGAGAGGAGGAATTTTCCTCTGTGTGTGCAAGCAGTGTCCGTCTTCTCTTGTTTCCAAAAGCCAGTGACGTAACGCACCCTTCATCCATTCCTCCCTTCTGGCCTATTTTTAGCTGGCCCCGACAAGCATCCTAAAAGGCTTCCAGACTTGCCTGCTCTGAGGCCATGCAGGGAGACGGCCCTAGGGTGAGGAGAGAGAGGAGCTCATCTGTCTGTCCCAGGATGCAGGGAGGGAAAGAACCTGCCCCAGGCTTCGTCTGGGGAAGGAAGGGAGCTGGGGGGGGAGCCCGGTGAGGGCTCTGATGGATCCTGGTTACCAGTGCTCAGTTGGAGCCTCAAGCTGGGTTTTGAGTCCTGCCTCCACCCGTCCTCACCCTGACCTTGGGCCCCTGACTGTCTGCCTGGCTTTCCTTTCTTCACTGTAACACGGGCTAACAGTACAGCTGTGCTGGGGGGTTGTTAGGAGGATTGAATTATGTCACGTGGAACGGTGCCTGGTGTAAAGTAAGCACTCAGTTAAGGTGAGCTGGTATTGGAATGGTGATTAGGATTATTATTTTTTTAAGACTTATTTATTTGAGAGAGACAGCAAGGCCATGGGGGAGGGGGAAGGGGCAGAGGGAGAGAGAATCTCAAGCAGACTCCCTGCTGTGCACAGAGCCCTATGTGGGGCTCGATCTCATGACCCTGAGAGCATGACCTGAGCCAAAATCAACACTCGGACACTTAACTGACTGAGCCACCCAGCCGCCCCCAGTGATTATGATTATTAACATCCCATTCCATCTCCAATTAATGTTGGGGTTACACCGTGAGCCCCTGTGTGCCTCCTGCCCTTTATTCTTTCCTGTGGGGCTTTAACCAACATGTACTCGAATGAGACAATACAGAGAAAGCCCTGGAACGGGGCCTGGCACATCTTAAGCGCTGACTAAGTGAGAGCTGTATTTACTGTTTTTGTTTTAATGTAATAAAACAGGCCTGAGTTTGGATTCCAGCCCCATCCACTAGCTAGCTGAGTGTCTTTGGGGAAGACACGTAACCTCTCTGAGCCTCAGTTTCCTTGTCCATGAGACAGGGATAACAGCTGTGTAGGAGATTTTTTTACTGATGAGGGTTGCCCCTGGACAGAAAGACTCCCGCGGAGCATGATGATCAGCACAATAAAAGTTTCTTTCTTGTGGTGCTGGCTTCAGCCAGGCTCCTGAGTGCCAGCCTCTATACGGTGTGATACACCAATGGCAGGAGCAGTGGTATTTGCACGGCACTTTACAGTTTGCGTGAAGGGGACATGGTGGTCCCTCCTGCCTTTGTCTCCCCGGGGTGCAGTGCTCATGCTGGGAACCTGGCACTTGTCACCCCCGCCTGATGTTATGGGTATGTGTCGACCTGGCTGTCCCCCTTCCCTACAGCGAGAGCTCCTGGAGGGCAGGCAGGGAGGGATTCACGGCTGCACCTTGCTTGCCCAGCCTGGGGACAGGCCCAGGGTGGGTGCTGGCTTGGTGTCTGAGGGCTGGACTGGCACGGGGAGACCACCGTCTGACCACCTGTCCTTCTTGGCTCTTGCAGGTGGGAGGAGGAACTGGCCAAGCGCATGAATCTGCAGACCATGGTGGACACGCTGCAGGAGGTGAGCATCCCCGGAGGTCCCGACCACGAGAGGCTTGCGGGAGCTGTGTGGCCTAGGGATGCAGTCACCATGGGACAAAGTCAGAGGCCGTTCCCAGCTCAGCCCCGGCACTCCTGCTGCCTCAGTCACTCCTTGAGGGAGCCACAAGGCCTCTTCCTTGTCCTCTGCTTTGGACCTAGGAAGGGACCGGCACAGTGTTGCAGAAAAGCTTGGGGACGGGAGTAGGGAAGCCTGGGTCCAAGTCCCAGTGCTGACCCCAGCTTGCTGGGTGATGTTGGTCCAGTGACTCTTTCCGACCCTCTGCTCCCCACCTGAGTTCAGGACTGGATGGTCTCTTGAGCTGTCCTACCCCAACTTGCAGGAACTGACTTGGGGCTGAATGCCTTAGAGAGGGTGGGTGGCATGTCAGTGGGTGGGCTCCCAGTGAGAATATTCTGTTGCGGTTCTGGCTCAGTAGCTCTGGGTCTGGGCTCTGCTTCTCACCCACCTGCCGTGTACCCTGGATGGCAAACTTCACTTTCTCGGCCTCTGAATAACGACCCCATGAGAAGGCAAGGACAAGTTATTTCAAACATTTTTAGAAATTGCTTTCCGATATTTAAAGCACTGATCTAAGAGATAGAATAAAGTAATGTCAATACGTAGAAGGAAAAGGATGAATGCCTGTTCCTCCCCTTTGTTTTATAACAGAAGTCTTATTTACAAACATGACATGTTCACGGTCAAATATTTGGAAAATTCAGAAACAGAGAAAGAAGAAAATAAAACTCTCCTCCAGTTCTACCTGCCCTCCTCCCTGCACACTTGATAAATTACCGGGAGACCTTCTGTCTTTTCTGTGCAAACACACATGTACTCTACATGTGTACATGTGTTTGTTTGGTTACATGGACACACGTGGTGTTGCCATTTTTGAGGTGGGAGATGGTCAACTATTGGCAATTTCACATGGACCGAGCTCACATTTTGACCTATTGGAATCACTTGTTCCACTAACCTGGCTCTTTTTCTTCTTAATGTCTGCTGGGGATTTTTCCACGTGATAGATATTCCTTGGAGAGGTGTTTTAAGCTGAGTGGTGCCCTGCAGTGAACTGGGCTTGGTGGGAAGCCGGGCAGGGGGGAGGTGCTCGGCACCCCTTTCTTGGCATGCAGGTGCCTGGCCTGCTTGGACATCAGGTGTCCAGGGCTGTGGACTCCGGTGTCCAGCCCCTCGCACCCCTCTGGGTGGCTGGTCCCCTAAACCCGCCCCCAACTCTGTCCTGTGTAGGCGGCGCAGGAGGCTGAAGCTATCCAGGAGGAGATGAACGAGAAGATTGAGCGGCTCAAGGCCGAGCTGGTGGTGTTTAAGGGGCTCATGAGCGATGTAAGTACCACTGGCTGCCGCCCCAAGCGTCATGACACCCCCCACCCCCGAACACCCATCATGCAAAATGCTTCATTCACTCCGAGGCTCCAGAGCTCGGCTTCTAGTTAGAGTCCTGGCTGGCTGCGTTTGCCCCGTGAGGATGACGGATGCATCGAGACCAGCCCCCCTCACCCCACTTCCGCTTCCCTTGGTCTGAGTAGAGATGCATTAATCTGCTGCTTAACCCATCCCGCCCTCCCCTGGGCTCCTCTGACGGTCTGTTTGTGTTTGCTCCGACTCGTCCCAGCTCGCCACATTGAGGGCGAGTGGCGGCCGTGGGCCTCGATGTCTGGGCACAGTGGAGGGCCCAGTGGCAGGTTGCAGGAAGGCCCCTGGGTCCTGTCTGTGTCAGCCGAGGAGGCTCCCTAGGCCAGCAGCCTGCAGCAGGGTTGCTTTGTAAAGTGGGGGAAGGCCAGCGTCTGCATCCTTTTGAAGACTGGAACCTCTCTGAGTGACTGTGGGTGCCGGGAGCTGTTGGCACCCAAAGCCTCCTTCCTGCTGGGGACCCAGGTTTCCTGCCCCCTTCAGGCAGCGGGCAGCATGTAGGGAGGGCCGCCAGAAAGGAGAAGGAGCCCGATGGCGGGTGACTCAGCCTGGTGTGGCTTCTGGTCCTGAGGGTTGTGGACCTGGGTGTGGCTGGCAGAAGCCTCCGGGGGAGGGGGCTGCTGAGGGAGCCCACGGGGCTGCTGGGGGAGCCCACATGGCTTCCCCTCACTGGGGTCCTGGGAGACCCCCCTCATCTTTGGTGAGACCCCGCGGCCATGGGAAGAAGCCTGGGGAGAGTGCGCCACCTTGGCAGGCCCCTCTGTTGGGGCGGGGGGGACAGGTGGGGCACAAGGGATGGGAGAGAAGGGAAGTCTTTCAAGAGTGGGAGGTGTCTTTCTTCTTTGCTCTGACAAAATAAACACTGGCACTGTGTCTGTTGAGAGGACGCCTTTCAGCCCTTAGGGAGGCCGGCAAACATGGCCTCACATTGTCCACTTGGCGCCAAAGCCTTTAGCTCCCACGACCTCTCCACTCCCTCCCCCAACCTGAGCAGCGCTGGCCCCACCCTCCTCCCCAGAAGCTCCAGGCGCCCCCCTTGGACTCGGACTCAGGGTTGCACACCCCTCTGCCCAGCAGGAGCCTGGGAGCGACGGCCCCGCCCTGCCCCCCCATGCTCGCTCACGTAACCCCCCTGCTGTCCTCCCTGCAGCCCATGACAGACCTGGACACAAAGATCCAAGAAAAGGCCATGAAGGTGGACATGGACATCTGTCGCCGGATCGATATCACGGCCAAGCTGTGCGATGTTGCACAGCAACGGAACTCGGAAGACGTGTCCAAGATCTTCCAGGTGAATAGGGTCACCCTGCTCACCAGCCGCCACTCCCCCCCCGCCACTGCCCCCCCGCCACTGCCCCGTCCCAGAGTGCCCGGCCTCTACCCTGCATGGCCAGGCCCTCTTCCCCTCCAGTCCCGCCCACTCCCCTTCCCCCAGAGCTAGCTTCGGCCCCCACTCTGGCCTCCCCAGGACGACATAGAGTCAGGGACTTGGTGACTCGTAGGCTCTTTGGGCTGAATGCTTCATCCTGTGGCTGAGGAGGCCACTCGCCCAGCGGGGGGACGTGACGGGCTCAGGGAGGGACAGGCCCAGCTGGGACTGGCACTCAGGTCTCCTGACCCTCGGGGGCTTGGTCCACAGGCCTGCTGGGCGCCGTCGCCAAGGTTGAGAGCCCTGGCCAGGCTGTGGGAGCGCCGGGTGAACTGGCTCAGCCCTGGTAGATGAGCCTCAGAATTCCCGAGAGGAGCTGGTGGCCTCTGTTTTTTGTTCCCACTGAAGAGTCTCTCAGGGCCCACCCCCAGCCCTCAAGGAACAAGTGTGTGTCCCAAGAGAAGGCGATGGGGCAGTTTGCACTGGTGGGCTGTCCTCTGGGGAGGGCACATGTCATTCTCCAAAGGCTGCTTCTTGAATTCTGGGTCATGGTTTGGCTTTTGCTTGAGCCCAGGGCAATACAGCGTCTTGTCGCTTTAAGTGTGTGACTTTGGGTGTAGCAGGAGAGATCTGGGCACGTCTGCCTCCGTGCCTTTTTGCTGCCCCTCTGCTGGGAAGCACGGGTGACCATTCCAGGCTTTGTTCGGTTTGCTCTTGTCTTGTCTGCTTGGAGTGGAGGAAACTTGGTGACCCTCGGGCTGCCTGCCCATTGCCTTTGCATGTGAGCAGGAGGGCTCTGAGGCATGGAGCCCTCTGGGCCTCTGTGAGGGGTTCTCTCTCTTTCTCTGGCTGGCTCTGAGACATCCCAGGGGACTCTGCACCCCGGTCTGGCCCGCTGCTCTCCCCAGATCCTGCAGGTGCTGCTCTGGTGAAGGGCCCAGCTGAGCCGGCCCACCCACTACGGGAGGGAAGGGTCCGGGCCGTCTGTCCTCCCTCCTGCATGCGTCCCACCTCACGCTTCCTGCTAATGCCGCCTGCTTCTCAGAGGAGCTCCACATCTTTCCCGGCAGTGGCCGCCCCAGCCACGCTCCATCCATCCCATGGGGTGCCGACTCCCTTCCCGGCCCACCCTCCCTCCTGGCAGAGCCTCCCACTTAACCTCCATCTCTTCCCTCCCGGGCCAGGTGGTCCCCAAAAAGAAAGAGCGTAAGGTGGCTTCGGATGACGACATCTCCGAGCAGGACGGGGAGGTGAACCGGTTCTCGGACGACGAGGTCGGCTCCATGAACATCACAGACGAGATGAAACGCATGTTCAACCAGCTGTGAGTATCTCCGCTGCCCTGGCCCCCGGGGCTCCGCTCCACTTGTCCAGGCTGCCGGGGGCAGGGCTGCAAACCGGTGGCCTGCTCTGACAGTGCCTTGTCCAGCCAGCATGGGGTTCCGAAAGAATCTGGATTTAGTCTCAGCGTTCATAATTTGGGGAGTTCCACATGTTCAGAAGAGGCTAAATGGTAAGCGGTGGGTCCTGTGGGCTCGAGCCTTACACTCCCACCGGTTTTCCCCCGGGGTGGGATCGCTGGGCCGCTCGCCGCACTGGGGCCCACCATGCTGGCCGAGGGCGGGCTCCTGACAGCCACTGAGCATCCTCCGTGGGCGGGCGGCTTTACAAATGAGGCTTCGGTGACTCCAGACAGTGAGCCGAGGAGGTTGGATTGCCACACCCCTTGGTACACGAGGACACGGAGACGCACAGACCGGAGGCCCTTGGCCACGACTGCTCCACTTGTGTGGGGAGGAGCTGGGGTTCAGAGCCAGGCCCGTCTGCCGCCTGAGTTCTGTCCCGGAGATGCTGGGGGCTAGGGGCGGAGTCCGGGGCTAGCTCTGGTCCGTGGTGGGCTGGAGCCGGCCTGCAGCGGCTCACAAAAGCCAATCGTGCACGCGGCCACCCGCTCCGGCTTCAGCCATGGCACAGAAGTAGCTGAACATTTGCCCCAGTGGGACACTGGCAGATACTTACCCTCGGGACTACCCTCCCCTCTGCTGCCAAAAGCTGGTTTACTCGAACCTCATTGGGTGGAGTCACCTGGGGCAGGGAGACACTGTGGCCTTGGTCTGTCCAGGGCCATATTCTCCATCCGAATCCGTCTTTGACTCTAGTCCACACAGAGCCCTGCGGTGGGGTGGGGGAGGGGGGAGGAGGGTGCCCCTGCGGGCATTAGGTGACTTGCCTGAGGGCCTGGAGTCGGAGGGTTGGGCTGCGACAGGGTCTCTGGGGCCCACATTTATTTCCTCCTGCCCCTCTGGTGGCTCTTGCCTGTTCTGTCTCTGGAGCCCCTTGCAGTTGGGCGCCCGAGCCCTGAGAACTCCGCTTTCCCCCAGGACTCTGGGTTTTCAACGTTTGAGCTCTTGGCTCTAAGGAGCCGTCACAAAACCCCATAGAACCCCTCCCCAGGGGCTCGTGTCTTTTAGGCAGTGGCCTCTGACATCGTACTCGGTTCAGAAGCCGGGGCACAGGTCTCCCCAGCCTGCTTCCTGCAGAGCCCTGGGTCTGGCTTAGCATTACAGAGTCCAGAGGCCACTCAGCCCAGCCCTTTCACATTCAGATGGGGAAACTGAGGTTCAGAGGAGTGTGCCAGGAGGTGGAACAGAGCTGGGCCCCTGGCACGCGGTTGAGTCCTTTGTCCCCAGCTAGCTGTCTTTGCACTCAGAAGAGAGTCCCCCTCTGCCTTCTCTGCAACACCATTTCTGGCCTGGTCCCTTTGCCGCTGAGCCAGGTGACTCTTAGGGAGGCAGGAGTCAGACCCAGGCGGGGATGGGTTTGTGTGACACTTCCTTGTACTTGTCATTCCCTGGGAAGAGAACTGAGGTGGTGCTGTGTTTTGGGGGCTTGCTGTTGGAGCGGGACAAGGAGACTCCTGGACTCCTGATTCCATCTTCCGACATCCCCTCCAAATGTCGTATTCTCATCTTTTGGTGATGACAGGGGCTGTGGAAGGGACCCTTGACTGGATCCAGGTTTTCTGAATGTGGCGCTGGGCATTCCTGAGCCTGAGGTGGGATTGTCCACCCCACACACCCAGGCTGGGTTCATTTGGGTGAATTAAAGGGCTTCTCTGAAGAAATTGTCCCCGTTTGCAGAAAGCCCCCAAGGGATAGTTAGGCTGCCTGGGGATGGGGTGGGCTGAAAGGAACAGTTCCAAGAGCTGGGTCTGGGGACTCCCTGGCAGCACTACTATGGTACAAAAGAGGTCTGATGCTAAATCAGGTGCCTGGGGTCGACAGGTCTGAACTAGGCTCAGTATCCAAGTAGATTTATTGGGTTGTAAAGTTGTCTGGTTAAAAAAAACAAAACAAAACAAAACAATATATATGTATTTTTTTTTGTTGTTTTTTATATATATATATATATATGTATATATATATATTCTTTGATCATCCCCTCCACCCTTGCAGTTCTAGCCAAGGCCATGCTGACCCCACCCTGGGCAGGGCCCTGACCGCCCCCCCCCCATATCTCCACCGGCTATGGGCTGGGCCGAGACCCAAGCCAGAGGCTGCCCCCCGCCAGTTCCACTGAAGTGTTTGAATATTGTGCCCCATGTCAGGGCTATTTGTTTTGATCAAAATCTGTTGCTTGGGCTTCAGACCAAGGAGAAGGGGAGGAATTTGCTACTTTCCCTGCACCATGGCCAGCTCCTCAGCCCTGCCCTCCCAATCTCCCGACCCTTTTCTCTTGCCCATCTTCCTGTCCTTTCTGGCTCCCCATTCTTCAGCTGGGTTTCCTTCAGATCCCAGACGCTAGAAAGGAAGTGAAGTCAGCGGTCGAGTATGTGTTGCGGTGACGGTGGACCCCAGGGGCTAATCTGGAGCTAGTCCAGGGCAGCAGTGCCTTCCTATGCTGCTCTGCGCGCCCCTCCCCGCCGCCCCACTCTGGTCCTTGGGCTCATGGAGCCACCTACAGGCTCTGGCAGAGACTGCTTTTTGGTGGGGGACCTGGCTCCAGGGGGTGCTCTAGGCAGCTTTTAACCAGAAATTCTTCTTGGGCCCTGCCCGGTGGCCCCCCAGCCTGATCCGTCATGGGACGGTAGGGAGCAGTGCCCTGGAGGATCGGGGGTGTTGACAGAGAGCCCTGGGACCTACATTCTCCTCTGTGGCTCATTTGATCCATCAATTGATTTAAGCCCTGTCGATATCAGCCATCCCATCTGATCAAGTTCCCCTTCAGCTGAGGGAGCCAAGGCATCTCCAGAAACCCCTCAGTCCCAGGCAAGTCCCTATGGTCCGTTACCCTACTTCCAGTTCCAATGAATAGGGAAGCCCTGAATTTGCTCAGGCTTTGAATCCAAGCCCGATTTCAAGCATGTATTGGTTCAGAAGTCTACCTAATCCCTGCGCCCTTCAGTTTTCTCATCTGTATGCTTAGCGGCCAGTCCCGCACCCAGCACGTAATGGGTGCTTGGTGTATTTTACTGGGGGAGGAAAATGCCGTAGGAGACATCTGGTTTTCTGCCCCAGTTTCTTTGACAGGCTAGCAGTGTGACTTTGGACAAGTGGGTTATTCTTTCTGAGCTGCAGTTACCTCATCTGTAAAATGGGCATGATAGCAACCTTTCCGAGTTGTGGAGAAGACTATAGAAATCGCCTCTTGCAAAGTAGGGGCTCCAGAAATGAGCTATTACGTGAATGAAAACAGTCACCAGATTGGAGTTGGGAGGAAAATATCTTTAGTCTCCACTGATTAAAGACTGGCATCTTTACAAAGAGACATTTTAAACGGTATAAGTAATATATCAATACTTTCTGCATTTTTTTTTTTTTTTTAGATTTTATTTATTTGACAGAGAGAGATGCAGCGAGAGAGGGAACACAAGCAGGGGGAGTGGGAGAGGGAGAAGCAGGCTTCCTGCTGAGCAGGGAGCCCGATGGGGGGCTCGATCCCAGGACCCTGGGATCATTGCCCGAGCCCAAGGCAGATGCTTAACAACTGAGCCACCCAGGTGCCCCACTTTCTGCATTTTAAAAGAGCTGACCGCCCCCTCCCCCGGATAAGGCATATGCCCTCTTTGGCCGGCACTCCGTCTGTGTGGGACAGCTGCCTGGCAGGAGAGTACCCATCGGGGCGGTGCCCCTTTCTCCCCCCACCCCACCCCCCACCAGCCCAGCCTCTGGAGCCAGGCTTTGGGTCAGCCCTATCCTCCGCTGTCATCCCACAGGCGGGAGACCTTTGATTTTGACGATGACTGTGACAGCCTGACGTGGGAAGAGAACGAAGACACACTGCTGCTCTGGGAGGACTTCACCAACTGCAACCCAACCATTGACCTGCAGGGCGAGGTGAGCCCCTGGCCCGGCTGCCCTCCCCTGTCCCTGCTCATTCCGGCAACCCGTGCCACCCGGCTCATTGTCCCCTGTGCTCTGTGTCCCCAGCAAGAAGAAAACTTGGGCAACTTGATCCACGAGACAGAATCCTTCTTCAAGACGAGAGACAAGGAGTACCAGGAAACGATTGGCCAGATCGAGGTGAGGGCTTGGGCTCTAAAGCCCTCTGGTGAGGCTCTGGGGTCTCGATTGTTAGTCAAGGGGAATGGGGTGCTGGAGGGGTGCAGCGGGCACAAGGTCGTGAGTTGGAGGCCTGCAGTTCCCTGCCTGGCACCAGGCGGGTCCTGCCCCTCCTAGGGCCTTGGTTTTCTCGGGTGTAAAATAGATCACATGGGGGTGGTGATCCCTGTCTGTCCCAGAGAGTTTTTTAAGTTACTCCATGGAGATAGTGATCCCAAACAATGAGAGAAGACATTTGAGTGACATCGAGTGACGCTAGGCACTCAGTAAGCCTCCCTGGTACCCACATGCCCTCTGTACATGCCTAGAGGTACATAGGTGCCTCCAGACTGTGCAGTGGGTACCATGCACCCCATTATGCAGAGGAGGAGATGAGATTGACAGAGACCCAAGTGGCTGCCCCAAGGCCTCCAGCTGGGAAGCAGCCTTCAAGCCTGCTGTCTGCACATGTGGCCATGTTTCAGGGAGAGTGACTGCTGGAGAAAGAGAAGGCCGGCTCCTTCCCTGGGGGCTGTGTCATTGGTAGAGGACAAGGGTCAGAAACATAACGGAGACCTGAGAACATTCCTACGCAAGTCCATAGAAAGCAGTGCGGGATGCTGAGCGGGGTGGAGTTGGTAGACCTGGCGAAGGCAGCCCCTAGGGTCGCTAAGCAGCCATTCCCCTTTCACTGGAAGCAGTTCTGGGGGTTGGGGGCTGGCATGCAGGGAGCGGAGGGCATGGCATCCTCGGGGTGGGGGGGGCTTGGCATAGTCACCACCGAGGACGTGTGGAGGAAGTGGCCGAGGGTTCTGGAATGAGAGTGACTTGGCCTCACCTCTCTCCCACCTGGGGCCTTTCAGCTGGAGCTGGCCACGGCCAAGAGCGACATGAACCGACACTTGCATGAGTACATGGAGATGTGCAGCATGAAGCGCGGGCTGGACGTGCAGATGGAGACCTGCCGCCGGCTCATCAAAGGCTCTGCAGACAGGTACCTAGTCCCGTCCTCCCTGCGGGTTCAGCGATTGCGTCCTTGGGGGGTATTTGTGGGGCTGCAACTTACAGCCTGGACCATTGCATCTGCCCAGCCCACCTGTGCACCTGTCCACCCCTCCCTCATGTACATCTAGTATTAGCCACCTGCTGTGTGCTGGATGACTTACGTGTCTGATCTCACGTAGATCTCTTGGCAGCTACTTGTCATGTCCAAGGCCTGCTCTGTGCCAGGCCGCGGGGACAGTGATGCACAGAACAGTCAAGTCCCTGCCCTGTTGGGGCTCGTGCCCCACTTTCTGCCCAGTTGTCGGGCGGAGGAGGAATGCAGCTGCTGGTGGGGCTCCTAGGGTCCGTGGGAAGCAATTTCCCTTCCTTTCCCATCCTCCGACCAAGGGCCACTGGGTCTGTCCCCAGGAGACTGACATGCCTCAGGCCCCTTGTATTTGCCGGGGAACGCCAAAACAAAGACAGAGCCCCTGCCTTCTAGGAACGCGCAGCCTTTTGCAGGGAGAAAGATATGCCAATAATAAAATGAGATGATACATGAAAAATGCTGGGCATAAAGCACAAATATGTTCATTGTAATCGTTCCTCTTTTATGACTGTGGTTCAGGCTATAAAAGAGGGAGGGGCAGCTCAGTGGGAAGCTGCGTGGGGGGCCCTGGGCTTAGCATGTCGTCCCTTTAGCTCACTGTTGCCCCCGGAACCCATTGTCATCACGTCCACGTTCAGATGGAGGAGCAGGTTAAACAGCTTGCCCACGGCCCCCCGGCTCATCAGGGAGAGGGCCAGAATCCGAACCCAGCACTACTAGCCACTCTCCTGTATGGCCTCTCGTTGAGCTCTGAGTTAATTGGGGTTTACTGAGCACCTACCATGTGCGCAGACCTGCGTTAGGTGGTTGGAGAGTAGGACTGGAGCCTGATCCATGGCTCCTGCCCCTGGGGAGCTCTCGGCACCCGAGCAATCAGAGGCGGCGCAGGGGGTCCCGAGAGGTCTTGAGGGCCACATTCAACTCATGAGCTTAGAAGGTTCTAAGGAAAGCAGAGCGAGGGCGGGGTCTCAGGGCAGGATCATGGATGAGTAGATTTTATACAAGGGGCCGCTCAGTCTTTCCCGGCCCTCGCATCCCTTCAGGAGTCCCCAGGCTGCCCTCTGCATGACCCCCGTTTTCTCACGCCTTCCAGGAATTCACCGTCCCCCAGCTCCGTGGCCAGCAGTGACTCAGGAAGTACAGATGAGATCCAGGATGAGTTTGAGCGGGAGGCAGATGTGGAACCCATGGTCAGCTGATGACGGAGGCCCCCTGTGCCTGCTGGTCTTGGTGATGGGGCCTCTGCCCCCACTCCCCGTGGGTCCAGGAAGGCTCCTCGGAGTGGGGCTCCAGTCCTCACCACACAGACTCCCTCTGCCCTCCCTTCTCTGGAGGCCCCGAGGGACCGCTGCTTCCTTCCTTCCACCCCACCACCAACCAGTGCCCCTTCTCCATCCACCCACCCAAGGAATGGTGCTGTCAATTTCTATTGTTCTCCACATTACAAATGCAGACTTCTGTCCGGACGATGCAGTGTTAACTGTGCCTTTTCCCTTAAGCTGAGCCACTTTGAGCTCCAAAGAATTCTTCCTAGCAGGTGTTTTTATACAAAACTCTAAGGTGAGGGCGGGGCCCCTGGCGTGGTATAATGTGGATTTCTATCCTCCCACCTGCTCCTCTGATTGGCCATGAGCTCTGCCCTCCCCTCCTCTGCCTGGCCAGTGCCAGTTGGCCTTGGGGCGGTCCACCTTCCCACCCGCCAGGAAGGAGCTGTTTGCCTTTGCAACCTTTCCAGGCCTGGGTGGGGGCCTCCCAAGTGTTTTTACTTACTGACAAGAGAGAAAAGATGGAAGGAGGGAGGGAAGACAAAATTTTACTTTCTTTCTGAATCGAGTGGCGAAGCGGAGGGACAAGGCACTGTGGGGGAAAGTGGAGTCTCACTGTGTTTAAACTACTATGCAAACAAAACAAAAGAAAACAAAAAAAAAAGCAGCTTGCCTTATATCATTGTGGAAGGTAGGCCCTCGCCCAGACTCCCCGTTTTCCCCTGGAGCTGGGAGGGAGGCCAATGCTAGGGCGATCTCTCTTGCAGCCTCTGAGGGTGAGCACTGACTTGGGAGGGGGCGGTTCTGTCAAGGTCGGTAGTGAGGCCGGGGGCCTGCAAGGCCATGGGCCCACCTGACTGCTTGCTTTCTTGGGACCTTTGTGGGGTGGGAGGGGTCTTTTATTGCCCTGATGACTTGATGTTTTTCTCTCCCTTCCCAGCCAATGATAAGGGACTACAGATCTGTAATTTCTCTGTGAGAAAGCCTGAAGGGGGCCAGGCCTGGTATCCACCCCCTCCACAGTGGAGCTGGGTTCGTACGGCCTGCAACCATCTTGGTTGGTTCTCCACTGCCCCAGTTGCCGCTGTTTGGCCACCGGCAGGCACTGGAAAGGGAGGGGGAGGGAGGTAGTGAGGGCTGCTGGCTAATCAGAGGAGGCAGGAGCGGAGCTGGAGTGAGAACCATCCTCTGTTCTGCTCATGGACATACGCAGGCCTGTTCCGTACTTCACTCGATTGACCGACCAGTGGGGAGCTAATGTGAGCCAGTATCTCCCCAAGGCCTGGGTGGGCCTGTGTCGGAAGGCACTGTGTTGAGGCCAGCTGCCAGATCGCAGCTTGGAGCCAGCCAAGCAGGTTTTGCTTTTTTAAAAGAATGTCTTTTCGTACCCACTCTTGTGGGTGCGATTGCCGATTTTTGGTTTTTTATTGGCCCAGGAGCTCTCCCGGGAGGTCCAAGGGGCAAAATGTGCCCGGGGCCCAGAACTTCCCACCTCCTGCTCTCCTGTGGAGGCGGAGGAGGGACTCTGGCTTTAAATGGGATTGCAGCCCCCTGTCTTTCTTCCTCAGGGTACCAGCGACCTGTAAGGGCCTTCTCTGTCTTCCGTTTCCCCGCCTGTTTTGCAGTCTTAAAACCATTGTACATAATACTCATAGGATATATATATATATACACACACACACATATATATATATATGGAGAGAGAGAGTGTATGTTAGTGACTGTATGTAATTTTTATTTATCAGAACTTGGTGGCCTTTATTGTGAGTCTCCCCCCCCCCCCCCTTTTTTTTTTTGTGTTGTGGTTGTCGCAGGAACCTGCTGGTTCCCCGTGGCAGTCTGGCCGAGAGGCTTCCATTCCCAAACAGTCCCTGGGTAGGTACGCGGAGGGACCATGGGTTCAGAGGAGAGTCAGCCCCTTCCCCTCCTCCTCACTGACCCTTGTTCTAAAGGTTACAGGGTTCAAACATACCTGATTATTATTGTCATTAGTGTTATTGTTGTCTTAGTTTTAGTCTTATTGTAACCAAAGTTTGTCAGAGCCAGTCAGGCTTGGACCTCAGCTGCTGGAAAGATTTTCCGTTTCCGGGAGGACACCCCCCGCCTCCCAACCCCGGCCTCCTCTGTCCAGGGCTGAGGGGGGTAAGGGAATGGCGTGGTTTGGGAGGCAGAGCAGAGGTCAGTCCCGGTTGTTTCTCAAGGTGGTGGGGAGGGTGGCAGACCTATCTTTAGTGTTAAGACATAAGGCAGCAGTGTAAGTATTTGAGATTAAGGGGGCCTCGGCAGTCAGCGTTCGATGGTATTATGTATGCTTTCCCCCTCATGTACATAGGACGTTTGCCTCTGGGACTGGGGTGCTCGAAGTTTGTCCAGGGAGTATGGAAATGGCAGGAGCCCGAGATAGACGCTGGCCGAGCGGCTCCTTCCTGCTGGTTTTCCATAGCTGCTCTCCCCTGGGGAGCAAGGATTGGGGCAGGTGGATGGGGCTGGGGGACGGCAAGGGTGTGGCAGACCGGTCTCCTGGGTCTGAGCCCGGCTGCCTCTCGCTCTCCCCACCAAGTTCTTTTTTGAGTTTGTTGCCAGTGGGCCCTTGCTCGTGCCCCCGCCATGAGCCCACAGCTTGCCAAGAAAGACCCCAACGCTTGCTGGGGCAGCACCGGATCCAGTTGGGATGAACTGGTCCGTCCTTTGTAAAGCTGTAAATACTAAAATTTCTATTTCTAAGCCCAGTGTCATATTGACATTGGTATTTTAAGGTTGTTCTCAGATGGGCTCTCCTGTGCTGCCCTCTCTCACTCTCCTATTTTTGGGGGTTTTATAAAAAGAGAGGATTGGGGAGGGGCAGGGAGAGTAGCTTCCTTTTGGCTCCCTGGTTGTGGAAGACACATGCGCGCGCACGCACGCACATACACACACACACACTCCTCTGAGACTCCAAACGGGGAAAAACATCATTGGCAAGTGAATACACTTTGTTTTCTTGTAGCAATATATCTTGAGGGCTTTGAAGGGCGGACTTAGCTCTGACCTACAGAGAAGCAAACCATTTTGGCTTGGAATGGGGGAGAGGGTGTGGGGTAGGGGGTAATATAAGGTGTAACTTAAGCTAAATGTAATGTATTTATAAAGTAAGAGATTCTCATCTATTTTTATGAGAGGAAAGGGTTTTTAAATTTAGGGTAGGCAGTTATGGTAGCCCAGCGTTGTCCTGTGAACAAGAAATGCATGTTGCTGCTGGACTGAATATAATCAGTGCCCCTCCACCTCCCTGGTCTCACCACCCACTCACCTGTACCCGTGAGCGGCTTCAGCAGAGCCTAGGTCCCACTTCACCCCATTTCCCTGTTCCTTGACCCCCCAGCTCCTTGGTCCTTGAAAGTCTCTGGCGGGGGGCACTTGTGGAAGTGGGTGGGCAGTGGAGAATTCAGAATTGAGGTGGGTGGGGAGGAGGGGAAAGGGGGCACCAGGTAGGGGACAAGCTCGGCTTCTGAGGGTGGGCTCTGATCGGTGACTCACGCTCTGGTCTGCCAAGGTCCATTTCCAAGTCAGCTGTGTTTGGGAGAAGTTGAGAAGCAGCAGACCGTGGGTGGCCATGGGACTGTTGGTTCAGGGAGCACTTAGCTTCCTTGGGGCCTGGGCCCTGGTGGGTCCCAGGTGGTCAGGCAGTTGGAGCAGGAATGGAAGGGCCAGAAGATGCCCGTCACCCAGCCCCAGCTGTGCCTACTCCAGGCCTCGGCCTGGGCTACAGTCCTTGATGTGCTCCTCCAGGGCCTGGGGCAGGAACCGGGGTGCTGGGACTTCCTCAGACCTGGGTTCACCATCTTGAGACACCGAGCTCTTGTTCTAGAAGGGCATTCTCCTGACGTGGGGAGTCCGGAGGCAGCTGGGTGGGTATGGGTAAAGGCAAATTCTCTCTGAAAGGGAATTTTCCTTGGCTGGAGGATTTCCAGGTTCAGGGTGGACTGTGTGTTGGTCTTGGGCAAATCCCTCACCATTCCCACTGCCGGGCCCTCAAAGAAACGAGGTAAGGCACCATCCCCACCCCCGGCAAGACCCCTTCGTGGACATTTTAGCATCTACCTGATTTTTAGCCCCATCCAGGGAGACTTTATATCCTGCAGTTCCATCCCACCCCACTGTTGCTGTTTGTCTGCCAGTTGGGTCTATTGTCAAGGGGGAAGGGGGGTTTATACTCACTGAAAGACTACTGATCCTACCGGAAACCAACCTGTTTACTGTACTGTTGTAAATATCATGCCCTTTATATCCTGTATATTGGCTTCTTTTAAATAAAGTGAAATGTCTTAGAATTGAGGGTGCTGCTTTTTTTTTTAATTGAGGATAAAGTGGTGATGGGGGAGGGGCAGGAGGACTGAGGGCCGCATAAACCCCAAAACAAAGTCATTAGCCAGTTGGTGATAAAATAGGGAAATTTCACATCCCCTGTTATATGGGCACCTGACGATGAAATCTTTGGAAGGCGACAGAGCGGGATTTATTATCATATTATCATATTCACTTTATGGAAGGGGAAGAGCGAGCCAGAGAGATCACAGGCTGAGTAACTGGTTTGCAGTTGAGGTCCTACTAATCATAAAGGCCCCCATTTGTTTAACCTCCTTTTATGGTGCCCTCGAGGGGCCACCTTCTGGGACTCTGGATTTGACACTGTCCAGTGTTCTAGTTTCTTCTCGTTAATGGCCAAATTCGGGGAGAACTGCCTCCTGTGAGCAGCCCTGCTCCCCACTAGGGTCTTCTGTAAGGATTCAGAGAGCCGCCAATTCCAGTCTATTTTTTACCATCTTTAAGACCTGTACTTGATGGAACTTCCTTTTCTCCCCACTCTTTAAATTCCCCAAAGTGTCTTAAAGGGTGTGACTTGGAGAAAGAGGAGTAGCATGAAATAATGCGGGCGATACCCCCCTTCTATAGAAATGGAAACTGAGGCCCAGGGAAACGAGGTATTTTGCCAACGTCCTAAGGAGGAACCACGATCAGCGTCCGCACTCTCACTCCTCAACAGGTTCTCCGTTGCCCTTGGAGAAAGTATTAACAGGTAAATCTGAAGAGTGTTCTAAAAGCTTCAACTAGTTTAGGAATGGAATGAATCCTGAAGAGCCCGCCATCAGGAAGGCTTCAGAATCCGATACTTTAAAAGATTTATTTATGGGGCGCCTGGGTGGCTCAGTCGTTAAGTGTCTGCCTTTGGCTCAGGTCATGATCCCGGGGTCCTGGGATCGAGCCCCCCATTGGGCTCCCTGCTCCGCAGGAAGCCTGCTTCTCCCTCTCCCACTCCCCCTGCTTGTGTTCCCTCTCTCGCTGTGTCTCTCTGTCAATTAAATAAATAAAATCTTTAAAAAAAATAAAAGATTTATTTATTTGTGAGACTGAGAGCGAGCACCAGCAGGGGGGTGGGGTGTGGTTGGGTGGGGAGGGGCGGAGGGAAAGAGTCTCAAGCAGACTCCCGGCTGAGTGTGGAGCCTGATCTGGGTGCTCCATTTCACAACCCTGAGATCATGACCTGAGCTGAGATCACGAGTAGGTCGCTTAACCCACTGAGTCACCCAGGCCACCCCCAGAATCTGAATTTTATTTTATTTTATTTTTTAAAGATTTTATTTATTTATTTGACAGAGAGATACACATTGAGAGAGGGAACACAAGCAGGGGGAGTGGGAGAGGGAGAAGCAGGCTTCCTGCAGAGCAGGGAGCCCGATGTGGGGCTCGATCCCAGGACCCTGGGATCATGACCTGAGCCGAAGGCAGACGCTTAACGACTGAGCCACCCAGGTGCCCCAGAATCTGAATTTTAAAGTGTTCAAGCAAACAACTTCTCCAACAGAAAACCAAAATTTTAACAGGATGGGGAGTGGGTGAGGTGGAGCGCCAGACAACCGATTCTGAGTGTTACAGGATTTCTTTTCCTTCGGTGCCCCTGGTTCTAGGTCAGGCTGCTTGGAAGAATGAAGACGTAGACCAGACAGAGTGGTGGGCAGCAAAGCAAGGTTTATTGAGCCACAGTAAAGTTTATTGAATGATAGAATACAAAGCTTTCAAAGAGGGAGGGGACCTGAGAGGGTTGCCGATCTGGCATTTCGATCTAGGGGTTTTATGGACTTTGTTGGTGGGCTATTTTAATCTGATCAACCCTCCATGTGCCTGTCATCCAATCAGTTTTTTGTCATCTATTTGTCATAATGGGAAGGGATGGAGGGCTCCTTCCAAGGTGGTATAAAATCCTTTTAAGGGTGGTTTCCTCTTAGGGTGGGGCCCCTTGACCCTACCTGCCTTTCTTCCAACTATCCTTCATCATGAGGTCAGGGGCTTTGAAGGGAAAGCTAATCGTGGACCGGCTGGGGTTTTTTTAAAGATTTTATTTATTTATCTGAGAGAGAGAGAGAGAGAGAATGAGAGCGAGAGCATGAGGGGGGGAGGGTCAGAGGGAGAAGCAGACTCCCTGCCGAGCAGGGAGCCCGATGCGGGACTCGATCCTGGGACTCCAGTATCATGACCTGAGCCGAAGGCAGTCACTTAACCAACTGAGCCACCCAGGCGCCCGGACCGGCTGGGTTTTATCTCTCACTGATTCTAGTCCGCCAGGAAGCCGGCCGATTTATCTAAGCGCCAGGCCCCAAGGTGCGGGGTGGCTGGGTGCCGACCAGGGGGAGGCTGGAGGCAGGGTCGGTAGGCTCATCCCAGGGGCTGCAGCCCCCCAGGTGGAGGCACGGGGCTGGCTGCGGGGATGGCCACCCGGCCAAGGGCAGACCGACTGATCAGGCCGGGATGCTCGCGACGCCCGGCGCACCGACCAGCGGTCCTCCCGCGGCTCCTCCCACGTGTCCCATTCCGGCTCTCTCATTGGCTCTTTCCGCCCCTCGCCGGCCCAAGGAGGCTGCCCCAAGACCGCCCATCCGATTGGCCCACAATCTTCGGTGTGTCATTCTGATTGGTCGAGGAGGCTCACGCCCCCTCTCCCCGCCCCCCGGAGGGCGGCTGGGCATACCATAACAGGCGAGGGGGAAACGTGTAAATGTCAAAGCTTCTCTTTGGGGCTGCCTTGTCCTGTGTCGCATACTTGCCTCTGAAGTTCCCTCGAAATCAGAGTTATCGTATTAACAGGAGGAAATACGGGGTCATTTCGGGTGAGCCCGACACGGAGGACGGCGTGTGACCCATTCCCCCCGCCCGCCGAGGTGGTGCGCTCCGGGCGGGGCTCCGCCTTCTGGTCGCGCCCCAGGCTCAAGGTCTGTGAACAACCCCGGGGGCTCACCGTCGGCGAACAGTTCCGCCGCGAGCTGGGGATGCTGCTAGTCCGACCAGCGCTCCGCGGTGCCCTGCTGGCCCGCCCCTGGAGGGAACCCGGGTGAGTGCGCCCCGGGCCCGCGGCGGGCGGGAGGGGGGTGCCCGGGGGCTTCTCCCTGCCAGATCCCCGCCGCGATCCCGAGGGTTCCCCCCGCCGGGGGTCCCTTCCTCTAGCCGTCTGCCCCTCACCCAGGCCGTCCTCCCGCTGCGACACCCCCCCCCGTCTCTTTCCTTCCGCGAGGGGGACCCCTCCCGGATCCCACGCTCGGAAAGTCACCTCCTTCGCGCTCGTTTTCCTCCTAATGGGAACCCACCGACAGAATGCATCTCGATTTTTCGCACAGCGCTTCTCAGCTCCCCACCCTGGGTCTCACGTTCAGGACTCGCCTCTGGGATTCCCTGAGTCTCCTGTCTCCTTTCTACCGGGACTCCTCTTTCCTCTTCTCCCTTTTCCAAATTAAGTACTGGGCAGCAAAGGGACCCTTCCTTTTGGTAGGTGGGAGAGTAATACTTAGGGAGTGCTTATAATGTGCCAGACGCTGGGCTAGGCACTTGGTGCATGCCTCACTGTGATGGCTAAGGGAGAGACACTGCATGCGAAGTGCATTGAACAGTGCCTGGCACTTGGTGCCCAGTTATTATTAGTCAGATCATCGTTTATCACTCTCATTTAAACTCTGCCGATTTTCCAAATTACAGGTGAAGAAACCAAGGTGTAGTTTCCGGGTGGATCTGCCCTGCAAACACCTGTGTGGTGGAGTTGGGTTCCTTCACCCTTGCCCACTCAGTGACACATGTTAATAGAACTGCTCTGGGCTAGATGGTGGGGTGGGGGGGGTGGGTAGGTGGGACACAGATCCTGTCCCAGAGGGCTCAGTCTGATGGACGGGTGTTTCTATGGGCCTTTCAGGGCAGGGCAGCCCCCGCCCCCAGTTTTGAGTTTTGTTTGCCTGACCACTAGGACTGTGACCAGCTCTGTCTCCCATGCTGAGCTGTGCCTTTTCTAAGTTAATCAGTTTCCCAAGGGATGGTGGGGGTGGGGGGGGGAGGGTGCCCTGGGCATGGGTCACTTTCAACACTGCTGGGTGTCCTTTGTGGGTGGGGGCTTGATAGGTAAAGGCAAGGAAGGACAGGAAGAACACATGGGGGAGAAGGACTTCTCTCCCAAACCAAGGTTGGGGGCCACACTTGCCACACCTTCAGCGCAGTCTCTTTGGCAAACTTCTCCCTGCACTCGGGACAACCCCCCCCCCCCACCATAGGGGGAGGAAGCCCATAGATTCATATATTTACTGAGCGCCTATTGTGTGCGATGTTGTGCTAAACCCTGGAAGAGAGGGTACCCAGGGGACTTCCCACGTGGATGGGGCCTTCCAGAGAGTTTTCAGTTTAATGTTGGGGGGGAGGCCTTAGCCATAAAAACCTCTAATACCTGGTAGAAAGCAATCCATATTCTTAAAAAAAAAAAAACTTATGATAGCAATAACATCAAGCGATCAAGAACCGCGGACCTGGCACTGTGCTGATAAGCACTGTATTATTCCCATTTTTACAGATGGGAAACTTATCTGCCAGTTAAGGCCAATGGAGAGTGAACATAGCAGTCAGACTCCAGCTTCGTGCTCTTAATTACAGAGCCTCCGGAGTGGAGCTGAAGCGTTTTGCAACCCGATCTGAAGGCTCACGTTACCTCTTTCGATGGAGCAGCTGGCCCAGCGCCCTAGACAGGGTTTCTCAACCTTGGCACTATGAACATTTTGAGCTGGGTAATCTGCATTGTGGGGGCTGTCCTGTGCCTTGGAGAATGTTTCACAGCTTTCCTGGCTTCTGCCCATGAGACGCCCGTGAGCACCCCGCAGTTGGGACAAAATAAAAATGTCAGGCACTGCTGACTGTCCCCGGGGCCAGAATTGCTCCTAGCTGATAGCCCCTGCTCTAGAAAAACAGGTCTTATGTTTGGCCACTTTTTAATTTATTCAACTAATATTTAGGATGCACCTGGGGCCATTTGTGGAGAAACAGTTTTAGAACATGTTTAATAGTATCTCTCAGTGTCCTGTTTGTAAAACTAGTGCTGAGGAAAACCACCTCTTTTGAGGACCTGGTGTGGGTAATGTTCATAGTGTTTCCCTTTTTGCGTGGAGTGCTGGGGATCTCAACCAGTTTTTAAAAATAACTTTTTTTCTCCCCAAATTTACTTTTATTTATTTATTTATTTATTTATTTATTTATTTATTTAAAGGGGTGGGGGGAGGTGCAGAGGGAGAGGGAGAATCTTTTTTTTTTTTTTTAAGATTTTATTTATTTATTTGCCAGAAATAGAGAGTCCATGTGTGCGAGAGTGAATGCACAAGCAGGGGGAGTGGCAGGCAGAGGGAGAAGCAGGCTTCCTGCTGAGCAAGGAGCCTGATGCGGGGCTCGATCCCGGGACCCTGGGGTCAAGACCTGAGCCGAGAAGGGCTTAACCGACTGAGCCACCCAGGCGTCCCAGGGAGAATCTTAAGCAGGCTCCACCTTACAACCCTGAGATCATGACCTGAGCTGAAATCAAGAGTTGGATACTTAAACCTGAGCCACCCAGGTGCCCCTAAAAATACTTTTGATTGTGCATTTTCTTTTTTTTTAAAGATTAATTTATTTATTTGAGAGAGAGAGAGAGCGCGCGCGTGTGAACACACACAAGCAAGCATGTGCATGAGTAGGGGGAAGGGCAGAGGGAGAGAGAGAATCCCAAGCAGGCTCCATGCCCAACACGGGGCTCATCTCACAACCCTGAGATCATGACCTGAGCTGAGATCAAGAGTTGGACGCTTAAGGGACTGAGTCACGCAGGCCCAGGCACCCCCGTGCATTTTCTTTAATGCAATTTCTTTAATTGTAAAAAAGTATAGATAAAGCAAAAAAGAATCCAAAAATGGCCTGGAATCTCACCACACAGAGGTAACCACTGTCCTCACTTCAGTTAATTAAGTGGATTATTTTACTGAGCTCCTCAGCAGCCTATGAGAGTTTTATAGGCGTTACTATTCCCATTTCACGAATTAAACAACTAAGGCCCTTGGAAATTAAGGAAGATGTGTCTAAGGCTTTAAGCCAATAAACACCAGGCCCCAGTTGACTGCCTCCTGTCTCCTTTGGCCCTGACTTCCAGCTTTTTTCTCTATTTCATTGACTTTATCAGGGCTGTCTTCAGTTACGTCTCTGCAAATTCTTGTTGGAAAGAGGCAAGATACATATTTATATTTATATATAAATTTAATAAGTAAAAGAACTAGCCCAGGCACATAGTAGGCTTATACTGAATGTGAATTTTTCTCTATTACTTGCTTTTGTACCAGACCCTGCTGGGTGCCAGGGTTCCCCCCACCATCACAGAGTGGGCAGGCTGGAATTGGCTACTGTCCTGTTCCCTGCAAGAATCCAGGGTCACTTTGGACTCCTCGCACCCCACCTGCCTGCTTAATTTTCAGCATTTCAGAACTCCCCAATGCTTGTCCCAGCCTGCCTGCCCCTGCAATGGGCTGGGCAGGGGGCTGGCACATCCCATTGCTCCCTGGACATACTCATGCAGTGCCTCTTTCCTGGAATAGTCTCCCCTGCCACGTTGGTGAACCCACACTCACCCAGCCCTTTGTGGCCTTGGCAAGGTGGCTCTCCTCTGGCCCTTTAGTGTCCTGTCTGTATAATGGGGAGAATCCCATCAGCCGCGTAGCAGAACGATTAGAGACGATGTGACAGGTACCCATTATGTAACTGAGTGACGGAATAACTAGAATCTACAGTGATCCTAATACTGGCTTCAGAGGTTGTTAGAACCCCCACTTGGGCTGCAGTTGTCACTGGCGTACCCCGAGCGCCTGCTTCTGGTACCCACCCCCTGGCCCAGCACATAGTAGGGGCCGCACCCTTGCTGTTGGAATGGCCCAGAGGACAGCCTGGGGTGGATTCTGGCTCCACCTCTTAGCAGCTCTGTGGCCCTGGGCAGGTTATTCCACCTCCCTATGCTGCCTGTGTTCCCACGTGGTAGGGACAGTAGTAGCCGCCTCATAGGGATCGCCTTGGAGAGGAAATACGTTCATACACAAAACCACTTTGAAGAGTATCTGCACCTGGACAGTGTTGCTTTTTTTTTTTTTTTTTTAAATTTTACTCATTTACTTCACAGAGAGAGAGAGGGAGAGCACAAGCAGGGGGAGCGGCAGAGGGAGAGGGAGAAGCAGAGCTGAGCAGAGAGCCCGACTCAGGGCTCGATCCCAGGACCCTGAGGTCATGACCCGAGCCAAGGGCAGACGCTTGACCGACTGAGCCACCCAGGCGCCTGGACGATGTTGCTTTAAGTATTATTTTGATCCCTTCCCCCAGGCATGGGCTGTCCCGAGTGATCGCCCTGGATCAGGCGTATTCAGACAAGAGGGTCCCAGCAGCTCAAGGATGGAGGCAGGTGTGGAGCTCGGATGCCCTTGGTGCTTTCCCGTTATCCTCATTAGTGACGCCGAGGCAAAACGCTTGGTGTTGGGGTTGAGCCTGCTCACCCCAGGGGAGGGGGCAGACACCCGCCCATCTTGGCAGTTTCTTTTTTTTTTTTTTTAAGACTCTATCCATTTATTTGAGAGAGAGAGAATGAGAGAGAGGGGGGAGGGTCAGAGGGAGAAACAGACTCCCTGCCGAGCAGGGAGCCTGATGCAGGACTCGATCCCGGGACTCCAGGATCATGACCTGAGCCGAAGGCAGCCGCTTAACCAACCGAGCCACCCAGGCGCCCCATCTTTGCAGTTTCTTACCCCGCCCCCACCTTTCCTTTCCTGGCACGAGCTGTCAGTGCCCATGGACAGCAAGCCGCTGCCCACCTCTTTCGTGAGCTGGGAAATGCTGGGAAGGAGGAGGCCCTAGCTGGGCCGAGAGGAGGACGAGCCTGTCCCCTCAGCCCTGTTGCTCAGGGGTCTCTGACAGGTGACAGGTGCTTCTGCCCTTGTGGGAGGCTCCTGAGTGAGGAAGCCCTGGGTTTCTGTGCTGCCCTGTGGGGAGTGGTGCCCCGGAGCCATGCGTGAGCACCGGGTCTCAGAAGTAGTTTTCTCATCTGTAATAATAATCATAACAGTAGTAATCCTGGCCCCTTCCTCATGCATTCGTAGCTGGATTCGGGAGATAATCACTTCGCGCAGTGCCAGGCATGTTGTAAGTGCTTAATAAATATTCCTTGATGTTTCGAGGGCAATAAAGTGGAAACAGCTCAGCCTGGGCCTGATGCCCCACCCTTCTGGACCTGCCCTGGCCCCCCCTGCACTTTCTCTCTGCTCACCGCTCACCGCCCCTTATCTCAGGGATAAGGAGGATTGGCCTTATCAGGTCCCAAATAACAGCTGGGAAAGTGTGGAAGCTCAGTGAAGCAAGGGTAGTTTCCTTTCTCCTCCTCTCCTTGGCCTTGGTCACCCCTGACCCCAGGCACTAGGGGGCCTGGTGCTGTTTCCACAACACTTTGGGTGTTCATTGTTTTTCTCTCCTGCCCCCCCCTCTTTTTTTTTCTTGATGAGTCTGATAAAAGGTTTATCAGTATATTCTTTGTTTTAAAAGGTATTTCTCCAAAATCCTGTGTGCCAGGCGGGTGTCCATGGGGAGTGGCGGGATGGGGGGCGACGGGGGGGTGGCTGATGGCCTGGCTGGAGCCACGGACAGCCAGAGCACTGTTGGTGGTGCTGTGACCAGAGCGTGGGCTCTGAGATGACCCGATATGGCCCGTCCAGGCGCTGGAGGGTAGCGTCCCCAGCACAGAGGGCTCCAGAAAGACCCAGGTGGCTGGATGGCGGCAGACGAAGTGGGCAGTGTGGAGGGATGATGGGAAATGAGCCTGGAGGCCTCAGTAAGGATTCCAATTTTTTGTTGTAGAAGAGAGGAGAAGCCCCTGAGTAGGCAGGTTTCATTGCCCGTATCTGAGTTGTCTCTGTGCCCTTGAGATTGCTGCTGATGAGTGAGGAATGCAGTCCTGCCTGGAAGGGCCTCGCAGATCCTCACAGAGGCTCCAGGTTCTGTGAGTGATTCTTCTCTGCCTTCCCCAGAGCCAAGGGAAGAGTGCTCATGTTAATCCTGAATGGCCCATGAGCCAAAATAAAAGGCGGGGGGGGATTGGTTTTGTCAAGTGTCCTTGGATTATTTTTGGCTCCAGTTTTGACTGAGGCTGATCTTTGAATTCTGTTCCCCACATTTGGACTGATGGGCAGCTGGGCCGGGGCTTGGAGACTTTCCAGGCAGAGGGGAAGCCAGGGGGGAATGTGATCCTGTGATCACAGTGGGCCTCTGCCCTGGGAAGGGTAGAGAGAGGCCTGCAGGATTTCTGCTTCTGACACTGCCTGGGAGGGAACAGGTTCAGGAGGGCTGGTAGCTACTGCATTTTAAGCTGGGTGGAATGTGGTGCTAAGTTTATTCCAGCACTATCTGTTGAGTGTCCAGGCTAGCCCCTGATTGTTGTGACCTTGGGGGTGTCTGAGAACCATTTTGCCGCTGAACACCTGGCCTGGTGCGGTAACATTCTGCATGTGTGTTTGCATATATACGTGTACATATATATACACATATATGAGACAATCTACGAAGACAATTTTCTTTTTTTTTAAATCATTTTTTTTTTTTTAAGATTTTATTTATTTATTTGAGAGAGAGAGAATGAGAGACAGAGAGCATGAGAGGGAGGAGGGTCAGAGAGAGAAGCAGACTCCCTGCTGAGCAGGGAGCCCGATGCGGGACTCCATCCCGGGACTCCAGGATCATGACCTGAGCCGAAGGCAGTCGCTTAACCAACTGAGCCACCCAGGCGCCCCGAAGACAATTTTCTTAGAAGTACAGAGCAGGAGGGGTGAGGAAGGGCAAGCACTTTTAACCTCACAGTGCCCCTGCAGGGCACACAGTACCGCCCCCATTTTTCAGGTGGGGAATCTGAGACCTGCCGAGTTTCTAATAATGGGCTGATGTCTCTCGGAGAGCGTGGGGGTTTCGGTCCCACAGATGTCTGCTTCTGGAGCTGGGCTTTCTGCACGCCCTTCGAGCCGGGGTCCAGGCTGGGGTTGGGGCACGCACCTCCAGGCTCCCAGCCCACACTCCTCCTCAGCGGCACCCTCCTGGCTATAGCTGATTGATTGGTGGTGGGTGCTGCTGCTGGAACCTTCCAGAGGGCCCTGAGGGCACACGCCACCCCCGTTTTCCTGACGTGTGGAGGCTTGTGGCGGCTGGAGTTTTCCAGCCTCTCTGTTCCTCCCCCACTATAGGTGTGTGTGTGGGGTCAGTGTAGACTTGAATTTATGGGATGTACCTGTAGCTTTGTGTGACTGTCTCCTCGGCTCTTGAGAGTAACCCAAGGGAGGCTCTTCAGAGTAACCCAAGGGAAGGGCTGGTGGGAGGCTGGCCTCACCCCACGTTTCTGCCCTTGGTTAGGGGAAGGGCGGGGCCTGAGGAATGTGACCTGCCTCTTAGCGTGGGGTGGGTGCTGCCTGGGGGGTGGGGTGGGGGAGGAGGGAGAAGGCCCAGCTCACTTAGAGCCGTTAGGCAAAATCTTGGGCAACCAGGCCCTGCCCTCCTCCCTCCTGGACTGCCCGGGCCCCTTTCAGCGCTTCCTGTCACGCTTCCTGCTCTGGGCCTTTGTACTTGCTCTCCTCTGTGCCCGGAATGTTCTTTCCAGTCCTTCTGAGATCCCAGATGGCGTTCAGAGGACGCCTCCCCTGAGAGGCCCTCCCTGATCACCTAGGCTTGAGCAGCCCTACCCTTCCCCTAACTCGTTCTCACATCCCCTCTGTCCTCACCTGTTTCTTGCCCATGGTCCCCATTGGAGGTGAGCTGCTTGTGATGAAGTACAGTTGGAAGAAAGGCAGGTAGGAACAAGGCGCCCCACCCTTAAAAGGATTTTGCACCACCCTAGAGGGAGTCCTCCATCCTTTCCCACTGTGATAGGTAGATGACCAAAAACCGATTGGATGATAGGCTCAGGGAGGATTGATCACAGTAAAACAGCCCACGCACAAGCCCATAAACACCCCTAGACTTAGAAACTGGTGGCAACCCTCTCAGTCCCCTCCCTCCTCGGGAGCTTTGTACTATCACTTTGCTATCACTCAATTAACTTTGCTTTGCTGCCTACCACGCTGGTCTACCTCTTCATTCTTCCAAGTGGCCTGACCCAGAACCACGGGCACCGGAAGGAGAAGGAAATCCTGCAGCCCATGCATCCGAGGCCTTGCTGCCATGGTCACTGCTGTCTCCAGTGTTTAGAGCAGTGTCAGGCATAGAGGGTGCCCAGGAACCTTGTAGAATGAATGAAGGACCAGTCCTCATGGCCCCTGGTTTCATGTCCTTCCTCCAGGCCTTTGGTCCGTGAGCCTCCAGACCCATGCCCAGGGACAAAGAATAAAAAGGACCCCCAACACTCACAGCCCAAGTGACACTGAGGCCTGGAGGACCCCCCCAGCTGGGGCCCCAGTTCAGGAATGAATGATCTCAAGTCTTGGCTCTTACCCACCTGTCCCCCCACCTCGCCATCCTCAGACATGTTAGGGTCGGTGGTCACCAGTGGTCACCAGTCAGTGAGGTCATAGGTTCAAGACTGAGCAAGGTCTCTGGGACGAGGAGTTCTTGAAACTCAGGACCCTGGAATCGGACCCTGAACGCTGAAAGCCGCCCTCCCCGTGGCTGCGAGCTGAGCTCAGGGCACTCCTCCAAGGTCCTGGCCCATATCCTGGATGTTCTTGCCCACCCGGAGCTCAGCTCTTGGTGCCAAGGGAATCCCAGCTGGGTCCCATTCTGATGAGACTGAATTCTGGAACAGGTTGCCCTTTCAGCCCAGAGAAAGCAGTAACTCAGGGCCCTTGGGATAAGGGCTGCATTGTGGGGAAGGAAAGGGAGAGTCACCCTCTCCATGTACAAAACGCTTAGAAGTGGTTTTGCATTGATTGAATTTAAACTTAAAATGGCCCTGTGGGTTTGTATGGTGGTTCTCACTTAGTAGATGTAGAGACTGGCCCAGCGGAGGCAGGTCACATGCCCGAGGATGCACAGTGTCAGGTCTGGGCCTGGAACTTGGATTTTGGACCCCAGGGCCAGTTCTTGCCCCCCAGTTCTATACTTGCTCTGGATTTCAGGATTCTGGGCCAACACAGAACACCCCCCCCACCCCCTCCCCACCCTGGTGGAGATAGAGGGGCCGGATCTGGTTGCGGCCACCACTGACCTGTCTGCCTCTCTTCCCTGCCCTTGTACCCCAGGCTGTGGTGGAAGCACACGGCCTCCCTGAAGGTGGTCAATGAGCCGGTCTTAGCATTCACGCAGGGCAGCCCCGAGCGAGATGCGCTGCAGAAGGTAATGGGCCGGTGGGGGCACCCAGTGGGGGTAGGGCACGGAGCGAGGACAGCCTTCAGCAGCCCTCCACCCCCCCGGATGCCTCTCCGTGCCTACAGCCATCACCCCCTGTTGCGCCTGCCCCCAGCCTTGGAAGGAAACCGGGTCTGGGACAGGCATGTGTCTGGAGGACGGAGAGGCTGGGGGCAGCAGGGGGGCAAGCCGGGCCACTCTGGGGCTCCGTCCAGGTCGGGGGTTGTAAACCCACAGACGTTTTCTGCTTAAAAACATTGTCCTGTTAATTGCCAGTATTTTAAAAATTGTGAGATGTCACATACATTTCAGATACAGTTTTCTGTCTACGATGGGAGGACCTGGCAACCCTGGCCTCCCCTTCCGTCAAGACAGGAAGTGACAGCGGACAGGGGCTGAGTCCTGCTGCCCCCTGGGCAGAGCAGATGCTCTCTGACCTCAGAGCCCGGCCCCTTCGTATTTCTGTTCCCGCCTGGGCATCTGTGTTTGCAGGCCCCGCACCGGGGTTTTAGGGGGAGCAGAGAGGCGGGAGGAAGTACCCATCCACCCTGTTGTCCCCTCCGTAGGCCTTGAAGGACCTAAAGGGCCGGACGGAAGCCGTTCCATGTGTGGTGGGGGACGAAGAGGTGTGGACGTCAGACGTGCAGTACCAGGTGTCGGTGAGTCCAGTGGGCCGGCGGGGCTCGGTTTCTCCCCGAACCTGGGGTCCATCTCTCAGGCAACAGATCAGCTTGTCACACGGGTCTCTGCCTCCAAAGGGGTTTATAGTCTGTTCCCTGCTTTTGAATTCTGTGCGCCAATATAAAACTTCCAGAAGTAGTCTTAGGGGTACCATCATAAAAGATGCCGACTTCACGCCTGCCAGGAGGGAATTAAAACAGGGACTGCCACAGCTTTGCCTTTTCTTTAGAAAATGGACCCACTGGCCACCTAGAGGGTGGGAAGAAAGGACAGAATGTCAGAATTAAAGATAATCCTTCCAAAGAGAGGACAGTCTCCAAAGCCCTGGCCTCTATTTTGGAACGGCTGCTCTAGTGGAAGATAAGCTCATCTGAGGTGAGCACCTAGGACGTGGCCGGGCCTCCTCCTAGAAGCCCTCCAGCTGGAGCCATGCTCCATCCGCAGATACATCTGAGAGGCCCTGTGCCGTCTGCATGGGCTCCTCTTTCGGTCCTTGCCACTCCTCTTTGAGGGAGGAAGAGCGGGGAGTTCGCTGCCCATTTTACAGATCAAGGGACAGGCTCAGAGATATTAAATGGCCCGCCCAGGATGGCACAGTTAGATCTGGACTAGGGATGATTAATCCTGGTTCTCCAGAACCACATCCCATTGATTTTGATTCAGTGGATTTTCTAGGAAGGATTTGGAAACAGCATATTAACTCATACAGTGCAGTAGGATCGTCTTGCTGTGGCCTCCTGGTCCCGGGATGAGAACCGTGGAGCTCTACGTGCTGGAGACAGCCCAGACTTGCCTTCATGCCTCCCAGTGACCGCAGGGAAGCGAACATATTACTTACACTAGTCAGAGTGTTCTGGAAATAAATTCCAGCTGCATGATGGGAGAAGCACAGCCCTTCCCCATAGCGGCCCCAGAGAGAAACGTCTCCCGAGGGTGTCAGAAGGACGCAGTGATGTGATGAGCAGCGTCCACACAGGAGTCTCGGCTCATGCACAGAGGGCACCTTTTGTGCACTGTCACCGCATGCAGGCCAAGGACATCCGCAAAGCCCAACGCCTGGGGATGCCGGGGGTCACCCTGCAGGTCCGTGTCTGCTGCTGGGGGAGCTTTTCCCTCTGGAGTTCAGGGTACGAACGGACACCGGCAGCTTTGTTTCCAAACCTAACGAGGGGGAGATTTCCCCTACACATTCAAACGTCTGGCTCGTCTGGAAGGTGGGGTGACGCGGCCGCACCAGGCTGGCACGGCCACAAGGCACCGTGTGGCTGGAACACGTCCGTGGGCAGCTCGGGGGTGGGGGCAGTGGTCCCCACCACCCCTAGCGCATGACGCCAGCTCTGTGCACTCACGGCTCTTGCCTCTCTGGCCCCAGCTGGGCAGTGGCCGGCCTGCGTGTCCCTCGGGCACCCCGCCCGCGCTTTCCCCTTGGCCGGGCTTTTGCTGGACCCGGGACAGTGAGCCAGAGGCCGGTGGTCTGTGCCAGTTAAGAGGTTGTCACCTGCTCCTGTGCCCCCCCGCCCCCGTCAGTTCGAGGGTGGGAGGGACCTGCTTTTGTGAGAGTTGGGGATCTTGACCAGGACTCGTGGCTGAGTGGACATTCGCAGCTGGCCCGTCAGGGAGCCTGAGCCCCAGGCAGAGGACTCACCCCAGCCCTTCTTGTCCCCGGCGTGGCCACGACACTTGTAGCCCAGGAAGGCTTAAAGCAAATACCCACCTCAGCTGTGGGAAGAGAAAAGTGTGTGCGTGTGTGTGCGCGCACACACGCACGTTTTGAGACCCCGTGCAGATGCATTTACGTGCAGCTTCTAGCTTTGTATCCAGCAACCAGTTGCAAAATGAAAGCCATGGTGTGTGAGCCAGGTGCTTTCCTCTGTGGCAGCATCACCCAGAAACCTGTTTGAAGCTCGAAGAGACGCCAGCTCTTCTTTCTAGCAGGGCATGTGTAAGTCAGGATAATAAAACGCGGCCAGCCAGCCACGCCTCTCGGGCCCAGGCCCAGGGCGGACGGCGGGCTCTGCCCTCTTGGAGGTGCTCTGCTGGAGAGCAGGTGGTCCTGGGTCGACAAAGAAAGAAACTGGAGTTCCAGCAGGTGAGGGACAGGGGAAGGCACGGGCACTGTGCGGGGGACGCGGGGGCCACATCAGGTAGGGTGGTTGGAGGGCTCCATGGAGGGGTGACCTCTGAGTCAAAGCCCGAGGATGAGGGTGGGGGGGGGGTTCGCTGCCAGGCAGAGGGCTGCTCGGTCCTCGGGCTGAGTCTCGAGCTGGGAAGAGGCTCAGTGAGCTGCACAGCAGAGAGGAAGCCAGTGGGGTGGAGGATTCAGGGCAGAGGGGTGGGCAGACGTGACTTCCTGAGGTTCTTACCACCTGTGCTTAGGGAACCTATTCCATGAGTTCTGGGGAGTCACTGGAGGGGGGGTTAAGGAGGGCCAGACTTTGCAGAAGAGCCCTGTTGCTCGTTACAAGAGAATGCTTTCTAATTTCAGGACAGCAGAGTGAAGAGGTGAGGGCTTGGCAGCACCTATGAGTCCAGACTTAGACCCGTGGGGGTATGGGACTCCTGGGTGGCTGGGGAGTTGGGCGGGAAGGTGGGGAGAGAGCCAGGCGAGGAGCCGCGATGCAGGGGGCCGTGAAAGAGCCGGAACAAAGCCCGGGGAATGGCAGCCCCAGGTGGGGAAGCGCAGCGCACCTCTCTGGAGGGTCTGCCCACATCTGTGAGCTCCCCACCTGCCCCCATGGTGGTGGGTGGTGGCCGCCTTCGAAACCGTGGGCCTCCACTCCTTGGCCCCGAAGTGGGCACCTGACCGCAGCTGGGCTGGTTGGATTTACGGCCCTAGAACTTAGAACTGGCAACAGACATCTCGAAGCTACGGGGAGGATACCTTCCACCTCTGAGACACACGACCACAGTGGGTCTCTTGAAAGGTGCAGGGCGCCGCCTCACAGAGGAGGAGAGAGGACGAGAGAAGCCTCAGTTTTTAGGCCGGGCTCCTTGAGTCTTCCTGAGGCCCAGCTGCAGGCCACCCGAGTCTCCATTACGGAGGCCCCTGTGTGTAAAAGGTTCCCCTTCTTGCCCGCTGGCTGACCTCCCTGTGCCTCAGTCTTCTCGTTTGTAAAATGGGGGTAGCAGTCGTGGTGCATAGGGTTGTTGTCGGGGTGAACGGATTGATCCGTGCCAAGTACTCGGTGCCCGCATGCACGCCGCTGAGCAGACGTCAGCTGTGACAGAAACAGTCCTGTTTCCCTCAGAGCCTGCAGCTGGTTCATCCAAAAAAGCACGAGGGGCAGACCCATCTGTGTTTCAAACCTCTGGAAGCCATTGACCGTGATGGCAGGAGGCTTTCTCCTGCAGGTGTAGGGTGGGTTTTCTGTGGTGTCCCTCACTCGCCAGATGGCCGCACTGCCCAGCCCATAACTGAGTCCTGCCCACAGGCAAGGAAGGTCCTGAGGAGTTCACACAGCATCTTCCGTGATTCCTGATGGATTTCTCCAGAAGGGGGTTTAGGGGTTAACAGTGGGCTAAGCCCCGTGATGACATTAGCCTAAGAAGCCACGTGCTCAGGGTCATTGAGCCAGGAACTGACCTACACTTTGGCTGGACTAGCAAACTCCTAGATCTGTAATTTGGGGGAGAGTAAAGGGTTGGCCCTTTTGCAGATGGGGGAGGCACATTCAGGCTCTGTCCAGATGGAACCCTGAGCAGGTGCATGCAGGGTAAGGGTGAGGACCCTCAACCCCCAGCTCCGAGGGTTCTGAGGATGCCCCGGGAAGGAGTTGCCCACAGGGGGTGTCCTGGAGCCCCCACTACTGGATCAGCGACCAGAGGGCCTGACACCCGCAGTCCTGGGAGCACAGCCTATGATCACTCAGTTCACTCGGCCCCTCAGCGCTGTCCCAGCTGCCAGCTAGGGTTCTGGTCACCCTCTGGGCAGGCACTTCCCGTTCTCATGGCCCGCGGTGCCTCTCTGACTTGGTCACGTGGTAACTGGGGGAGCCCAGGCGTGGGAGGCCGTGGCCGGCACGTGGCTGCTGGCATGGGGGAGCTGCGGTCCACGGGGGCTGAGTCGAAGGGCCTGGCCCCGGGGTGCCGCCTCAGCCCCTGAGCATCACAGGCCAGTCTCAGGTGTGGACAGGATACAGGTGACTCTGCTGGGGGTTGAAATGAGGGGGGAGAGGGCCACTTTCTCCTGAACCCTAGACCAGCACTGCCCAGTAGAACTTTCTGCAGTTATGCTGATCAGTATCCACACGCTGTCCCACTATGGCAGCCACGGGCCACGCGCGGTCATCCAGCACATGGACTGTGCCGGTGCAGCCGAGGAACGGGGTTGACATGTCAGCGGGCACGTGTGGCTAGTGGCTGCCACGTTCCACAGGAAAGCCCCACACAGCCCGTTGGCAGACTACTAGGTGGCAAGAGTACCAACAAGTGTGCTCGAAAGACGTGAAGTTTCTCCCCGCTTTATTAAAGCTCACGTTGGCATCTGGCGCTGCCGGGTTCTTTTTGCAAATGTTTGTGGAGGGTCTTCCCTTTCCCATGAGTCTGTGTGGGTCCCGAGCCGGGGGCTGGAGAAGCGGTTGGTCTGTCCCCCAGGCACTAGGGACAGTGGAAATCCTGAGCGGGTCTCAACTGCAGTGCATCGTTGGGGGCCTCGCGGGGGGACAGCGCCCAGGCCTCAGCCACGGCCGCGTGCCACACGGGCTCTGGCAGCATGTTCCCCTGTGAGCCCACTTGGGCCTTGTCCACGTGCTGTGAGGCAGGGCGTCCCCATTTCCCACAGGGGGGGACTTGGAAAGGGGAGCTTACTTCCCTCCGGCCCCCAGCTAGTAGGGGGCGGGGCTGGGATGTGAAGCCGTGTCTGACCACAAAGTCCACACTTTCCCTCAAAGACTGCGATCCATGCTTTTCTCCGGGACCGTGAACCTTCCAGAGCAGGAGTGGTCTTACTCACCGAACAGCAAGTGCTCCGTAACCCTTGATCAGACAGATGGATGTGGGGATTGGAGGGGAGAGGGCGAGTGTGCTGAGGACTCTTGTCTGGAAGGCGAGCTCTGAGCCTGGCCACGTCCCCACCTGTCCTGGCACCTCCCTGCTGGCAGTGACCTCGCTCTTCTCTCATCTTGCAGCCCTTCAACCATGGACACAAGGTGGCCAAGTTCTGCTATGCAGACAAGGTGAGGCCCTGGCGACTTCGGGTAGGGGCGCTGGCCCTCTGTTCCCCACTGGCTGCTGGCATGGAGGCAGATGTCAGTCGCTGCTTCCCTCCCTGGCCGTGGGGGGTGGAGTCTTTCACGAGGCTGGGCCGGCCGGGGCTTCATTTGAGGCAGATGAGAGCTGCGTGGGCCAAGGCTGACATCCCCCGACATGCCTATGGCCGCGAGGCAGCCAGGTTTCCAAGGGGAGTAGATTCTGCAAGGCTGAGTCAGGGACATTGGAAACACCATGGATAAGAAGGCAAACAGAGGATCGGCTTCATGGAGGGGCAGCGAGAGGGGTTGGGGTGCCCTGTGGCAGGGGGTCTAGGAGCTGGCTCATGGGGCAGCGAGGGCATGCTGGCAGCAGGTGAATGACTCAGGCTGTGGTTCTGGCCAGGCACTTGACCTTGAGGGCTGGCGGCTCTAGCGGGTGGGTTTGGGGGCCCCAGGAGGAAGGTGAGGCTCTGATGAGACCAAAAGAAAAAGCAGAGCTGGTTTAACAGCTGAGGGACTTGGTGCCAAGTCCCTGGCATGCAGACCTACCTGGCATGTCCCTTACACAGGCTCGGGGCCTGGGTTGGGCCGGCAGGTGATGGGACACTGTATTTGCCACTGTGTGTGGGGGGAGAGCACTGGAGCTAAGGGAGCCCCGGGTCCCTGGATGGAGGGTGGTCTCCAGTCTCCCTTGCCCATTCCCTTGGGGCCTTTCCCACTGTGGGAGACAGCCCTGAACCTTTTCCTCTTCATTAGGCCCTACTCAACAAAGCCATCGAGGCCGCGTTGGCCGCCAGGAAAGAGTGGGACCTGAAGCCTGTTGCAGACCGGGCCCAGATCTTCCTGAAGGCAGCAGACATGCTGAGCGGGCCACGCAGGGCAGAGGTCCTTGCCAAGACCATGGTGGGACAGGTGAGGTACCCGTGGGCGCAGTGGGGTGGGAGTTGGGGGAGGGAGGCTGTCCCACTCCATCCAAAATGGCAGCCATCAGCTGGGCTGCTTCTGGGTGCCAGGAGGTGCTCTGTGTGCTGGAGACTTAGGCCCCGTGCCGTCCTCCAGGCTCAGTCAGACCTCCGCAGCCCTCAGGGTGGGCTCTCTGACACCTCCAGCAGGTCACTCCAGGCTTACAAACCGCCAGGGTCTCTCTCTCACCGACAGTCATGTCCCAAGTCCTGTGCCCAGCACTCAGGGCCCTCTGTTTCCGGCCCGTGTCCAGCTCGCCGGCTGCTCTGCCCATGAGGTCACCAGTCTGGATTTAGCAGGATCCCTGGACAGTGCAGGCATCCCATCTCCCTGCCCGGCTTCTGCCTGGTGGCCCTGCCTGGAATGCTCACTCTCTCTTCTCTGTCCTGTGAACTCTTCCCTTCGAGCTCCAGCCCAGATATCACCTCCTCTGTGAGGCTTCCAGAATCTTCTCTGTCCAAGAGGATTCGTCCCGCCCCTATGCTCCTGTAGCATGCTGTTCGTTTGCCAGTTACAGCTCAGATCGTATTGGGTATAATGAGTTCCTGTGTGTTTGTCACCTCTCTACAAGCTTTTTGGAGAAAATAATCGAGTTAGCTGTTCTCCGTCTTACTGGGCCTTGCAGTACATCTCCCTGGAGTCAGAGAAGCTTTTTCGACTGAGTGCATGAGGAGTCAGGGAGTGGCACCAGCAGCCCCAAGTGGGGAAGGGAGCCCAGGGAGAAAGGGTTAATTTCGCCCTCCCTGGGGAGGGAGCCTTAGGCCCTCGTCCTGGGCCAGGCCAGCTCCCTGTCCTGTAGTGAGGGCCCCCTCTGCTGCACGGAGGTGGTATGACACCTCCTTACTGGCCAAGGGTCTCCTGATTCTCAGCGGCCCTTGGGGTGGTTGTAGGCTCCGCACGTGCTGGGGGAGCCACACACACTTGACGGCCAGATTAAGATGCCTTATTGCACTAAAGAGTCAGGAGCTTGTAGGAGGCGTGGTGGCCTCACAGAGCCAGGGCCAGAGCATCTTAGCTGCTATGGCTCCAGGTCCCAAGCAGGGTGACCACCACCAGTGACCCTGTGTGCCAAGGAGGGGCTGCCCTGATCCGGAGAAGCCCCATTCTTGCAGCCCAGAGGCCCTCCCCGACCCTTAAGTCTGTCGGGAGGAACGGGTTTGCTGTTGTCAGGCCTCCTGCTTCTTGCTCCAAATGTCCTAGTGGGGGCACCTGCTCACCCAGGGGGACGGAGCCACCAGCACCGTGGGCACCATGTCACCGTGGGCACACGGTCAGTATTGGAAAAGTGCCGGCGGGAGGCGCGTCTGTCGCCGCTGACCGTCTGGCTGTCGGCACAGGGTAAGACGGTGATCCAGGCGGAGATCGACGCGGCGGCTGAGCTCATCGACTTCTTCCGGTTCAATGCCAAGTTTGCCGTGGAGCTAGAGGGGCAGCAGCCCCTCAGCGTGCCGCCGAGCACCAACAGCGTCGTGTACCGGGGACTGGAGGTACCCACTGGCGGTGGGGTGGCCAGGAGCCTGCAGGAGGAAGCCTCGAGCTTGGCCTCACTACCTCCCCCTCCCCCTTCCCCAGGGCTTCGTGGCGGCCATCTCCCCCTTTAACTTCACGGCGATCGGCGGCAACCTGGCGGGGGCACCGGCCTTGATGGTAAGATGATGACCTTGATGGTAAGAGGATGACCTTGGTGGTGAGATCAGGCGGGGGCGGGCGGGGCCTCTCATTCCTGCCTCCGCAGACGACAGCCACCCCGAAAGGCAGAGGCAGTGTGGGCTCCCCCCGCCAGAAAGGCTTTGGGATCCGAGACTGGTTTGGATCCCAGCTCTGCCCCGTGCTGGAGGATCCCCAGGAAAGCCCCCAAACTTCTGAGGCGGTTTCTTCCTCCTCCTCGAAGTGGAAATCTAGGAAAGCCCAGGGTACAGGGTTGTGGGGAGCAAGTGAAGCTGTGTGTGGGACACGTGCATGGGACACGTCTGGCCTGGTGCGGGCTTCGTGTGCAGGGAATGTTGATGGTGATGGCAGATCGCTTTCCAGCGCCTACTGTGTGCCCTGCCAGAGATCTGTCAGGTCTAGGAAACGACCACACAGTAAGGGTTCGGGCTTAGCTTCCAAGTCCCTGGCTCCTCTGCCCTTGTCAGGGAGAGGGTGGCCGCCATCCTCATGAGCTCCCGCCGAAGGGGGTGATGCAGCCCTGCCCTTAGAGGGCCTGGGTGGCTCGTGGGGCACCAGGAGGAAGGCTGGCAGGTGGTGGGGGCCTGGGCCCCACATGGGGCGGCTGGCTGATCTCAGGGATGCTCCTGCCCAGGGCTGTCCTTATGCATCTGTGCACAGATAGACACGCACATACCCAGGTGCCCACGTGTCCTCAGCCAGGACATGTGTAGAGACAGGCCCGTGAGCCCTTGCCGGCCATGCTCAGTGAGTGCGCAGCGACGTGGAAACACCCAGAACAGACCTGCCCGAGGGGCGCTGGCAGGACCAGTTGGTACAGGCTTCCAGAAGAAGGGGGCCGTGGCCAGAGTGTGGGAGCAGTGGGGGCAGGGTGTGGTCCCACTGGCGAGGGTTTTTAGAGCACAGTGCCCGACACCTGGAGTAGTGGGGACATCCCGGCCTCCTGGGGGGCCTGGTGGCTCCACGTGAGGGATGGCTGTGCTTCAGGATGAGGGAGGGGGGCAGTCGGGTGGTGACCCCTGGCCTTGTGAGTCATCACCGTGCCTCCTGGGCAGGGCAACGTGGTCCTGTGGAAGCCCAGCGACACGGCCATGCTGGCCAGCTATGCCGTCTACCGCATCCTCCGGGAGGCGGGCCTGCCCCCCAACATCATCCAGTTTGTGCCAGCCGATGGGCCCACATTTGGCGACACTGTCACCAGCTCGGAACACCTCTGCGGTATCAACTTCACAGGCAGCGTGCCGTAAGCCCCTGGGGTGGGGTGGGGTGGGGTGGGGTGGGCCAGGCGGCATGGGGACATTCCCCAGGCAACCGCCTCATGACCTCTGTAGGAGCCGGAGGTCAGGCACTGAGCATACCCACTGACTCACTGTGTGTCCATGGGTGGCCCACTTCACCTCTCTGAGCCTTCATTTCTTGACCTGCTCAACAGGAATATGGTCCCTGCCTCGCAGAGTAATTGTGAGGCTCCAGTGGGTTAAGAGGAAGAACTTCACAGGCTGGAAGCAGCCTACAGACATTCGGTGATGTCAATGTTGGTGCCACCTCTGTCACTGGGAAGGGCACAAGGGAGCCTGGAATGAATTGGAGGAGAGTCAGGAAGGCTTCTTGCAAGAGGTGGTATCTAGGCAGAGGAGATAGCCAAGCAAAGAGGGGGTAGGGAGAGTGCTGTGGGAGAGGGAGCAACACGTGCAGGGCCTCGAGGCTAAAGCTCTGTGCTCGGGGAGCCGGGGGTGGTTCCGTGGGGCTGGAGTGTGGGGTGCTGGGACCGAGGTAAGCATGTGGGCAGGAAACGGTTCGATCGTGACTGCTCGTTTATTCAGTAATGAGCAGGTGTATGTGTCCAGTGAACGTGTGGACAAGTCCTGGTTCTTGGGGAGTTTAGTCCCGTGACTATAAGACCCTATGAGCCCACAGAGGTGTCTAGACTTTATCCGGAAGGTGACTGGGAGCCACAGAAGGTTTTATACCCAGGGTGTGCATGAAGCAGCTTTATTTCAAACAGAGGCTGCAGATGGTCGTTCTCTAGTTGAACCTGGCAAGTGGCTCTACTTTGGCTCCTTGTACAGTTGGGACGGTTTCATGCAAAAATCTTTTTGAGATCTCAGGCTGCTTTTGAGAACCTGCCCCTCTGGGCCTGCGTGTCCACGGGGCACCCCTGGCTAGAGGTGGGGATGGAGTGCTCTTCGATCCTTGGCAGCCTCACAGGCGCTGGGCCTCTGCGTACCTGGTCCTTCTTTCCTGGTCTGGCGCCGTGGGGGCCTCTGCATTCTCAGCCTCTGTCCCGGATGGCCACTCTGGCTGCTTTGTGGACAAGTCACCAGTGGCCAGAAGCAGGAGAGTGGTGAGGAGGCTGTCCACGTCCAGGAGGGGACAGCAGAGGCCTGAACCAGGGTCGACGGTGGGAGTGGATTCAAGTGAGCAGGTGGCAGGGAGGCGTGATCACGTGTCCGTGGGATTGGATCAGTGGATGGGGCGGGGGTCCGTGGGAAAGTCTAGGCTCTGGGCAGAGGGGTACCTGGAAAGCGTGGGTGAACATGACAAGTCACCTGCTGGTCACTTTGTGAGGTGCCTCACGGTCATCTGAGTGGAAAGGTCCGGGGTCTGCACTAGGGGGGGTCCTTCCTGGTGTCCCTGGGGACACCTGTGGTGGCTTCCAGTCTCCCTCGCCTGGCCTCAGGCTCTCCTACCCCCCTTCCCAGGATTTGCCGGGTGTGATGGAGGCATTAGAATTGCTGAGGAGGACCATTTTCCAGAAAGGCCCACTCTGCCAGTTCAGGCCCCATGGGTCCCTGCCTATTAGCGGGCGGAGCGGGCCTGGCCCCCATTTGCCATGCTCTGATGAGCAGCGGGCTTAAAGGTAGGAAAGTCATAAATTAGTATTAGCTACTGTGTCGCAGGCTCCCTGGTGATTAGCATTTTTATTGTTTTGTGGTGCTGAGGTTGGTCACACTCGGAGCTTGGGAAGGAGGTGGGGGCCTGCACTCCCTCTCCCAGGACCCTCCTTGGTTTGGCCGCCGGAGCCGGGGCGCTGGGCTGGGGGCGCCCCTCTCAGACATGGCCGCGTCTGTCCCCTACCAGGCACCTGCAGCGTGTCTGGCACCGACCTAAGCACTTGACTCCCATTAGAGCGATCACAGAACAGCTCTGCCAGGTGGGAATGTTCTCTGCAGTTCCCAGATGAGGTGCACAATTTGAGGTTGAGTGATGAGTGCAAGGTCACATGGCCGTGAGTGTCGGAGTCGGGACCCCTGGCCTTGTCTGCATCATCTTGCCACCAAGCCTACCTTTGCTCCCTCCCCACGGGTCCCGAATGTAGCCTGTCTCCAGCTGCCCCCACCTACTCCATTCCCGCCCTCCAGGCCTCGCTCTGACCTCTGCCCCCACCTGCTGGGCTTTGGGGCCCCTTCCTCTAGTAGGGCCTCCTCCCCACCCCCCAGGACCCTCACTGTCCCAGGGGCCTGAGCCTCACTTCCTAATCCTTGCCCTGTCCTCTGCTTTCAGCACCTTCAAACACCTGTGGAAGCAGGTGGCCCAGAACCTGGACCGGTTCCGCACCTTCCCACGCCTGGCCGGAGGTAAGGGTCCCTCTCCCGGCGCCCTCCCTGTGGCCCCTGGGGACCCCTTCCTGACTGTCATGGAAGAGGAAGAGGCAGAGGTGATGCCCCCATAGAGGGGGGTAGCCCTGCAGGAGCTGAGCAGTGAGAGGCCTTAGGGGCGGAGTCTCAGCTCTGCTAGATCCTGGGGCTTGTGCCCTAGAATGTGCAGTTGTTCGTTCATTCATTCATTCATTCTTCATTCAGCAAATAAAATATTAAACAGCTACGTAGGCACTTTCTGGGCACCAGGGATGCCTTGATGGCGAGAGACGCAGACCCAGCCCTCAGGAACTTGTGTTCAGTAGAAGGAGGCAGACAGTGGGCACACGGATGATGTGCAGAATCCACGAGAGAAAGGAGGCATGCAGAGGCCCCGGGACCGGGCGCAGTGGGTGATCTAGGGTGGCCGGCTGAGTGGCTCTCTCCTCAAGGAAGGAGCCTTTGAGCTGAGACCTGGATGCAGGGTGGAAGCCAGTCAGCCTCGCAAAGACCTGGGAGGCAGAACCGTGCAGGCCCCGGTGCTGTGCTGTAGAGCTTTGTGTGGTGATGGAAATGCTCCGTGTCTGCTGTCCGGGCCGGTGGCCGGTGGTCGGTGGCCACGGGTGCCTGTTGAGCACTTGACAGGCAGCTGGTGTGACCGAGGAAGTGAATGGCTTGTTTTGCTTCGTTTAAATCAGTGTGAATGTAAATAGCCACGTGTGACTGGCGGCAGCTATTTACCGAGATGGAGGCAGAGGGACCTGCAGGTGCGGAGGCCACGAGGTGGGAATGAGGCCAGTGTAGGTGGTGTAGGGGGCGGGGGCCGGACGGCCGGGGGCCCGAGAGTTCAGCAAGGCTGGAGCTTACTGAAATATTACTAAGTTTCCCACAAAGAAACACCTGCAAGGTCAAGGAGATTTGCTGTGTTGAAGCAAAACAGATTCCGTGTCTGCAGGACTTCCCAGAGCCTTTAATGCTTTTAAAGGCATGAGGTATCTTCAGGAGCAAGGACTGATGAGTGTTTCCCAAACTCTGTGGCTCATAGAACCCCATTTTTGCGGAGGCCCCCATGGACCAAGATTTTTTGGGAGAGGGCTGAGCACATAAGAGAGAGGGCCGTCCAGGGTCACACAGCAACTGCAGAGCGGGGGCTGGTGGCTCAGGGTTCTTGCTCCTGTGGATGATGTGGGGCCCGCGGGGAGACTGGATCCACTCCTGAGCTGGTGGGCGCTCTGATTTGGGGTCAGGGAAGGTGCGCCCTCAGCCACTGTGGCATCTCTACCCCAGTCCACCCTTTACAAGGTGGGAGCAGCGAGCTGTCTCTGGGTTTCTGTTCTCTGCCCCCTTCCTGCTGTGCTCTGAGGGAGGGAGACCACCACTTCTCTACCACCTCCCAGCCTCCAGAATTAATCTCTCTGTGTTTTCTTTTCTTTTCTTTTTTTAAGTTTTTATTTATTTAAGTAATTTCTATGCCCACCTGGGGCTCGAACTCAGAATCCAGAGATCAAGAGTCGCACGCTCTTCTGACTGAGCCAGCCATGCACTGTTTTCTTGTCTTTAAAAATGCGGATGATAACAGGGTTGCTTTGGGGCTTTCATGAGACAAAGCAGGAAGTGCTTTGAGTAGAGCTTGGCAGGTGGTTAGTGCTTTGTGACCGGGAGCTGCTGGTCACTCGTGTTTCACGGAGGGAGGAAACCAGGGCCCAGGGGCTGAGAAAATGAGGGGGGTGGTTCACTGCCATGAGTAGGAAGAGGGACCAGCCCTGGTAGCCGACACGGAGTGGAGCCCCTCCCTCTCCTCTCACCGGGTTGGGGGGTCAGGAAGGCGCCAAGAAAGCTATGCCTGCTTCTGGGAATGGATTGGCTCCTGGGAGCCTTGGGTTCTGGTCCTTCTGTCTTGATGGGAGCACCCCTGCCCCAGCCTCAGTTTCCCCAGCTGTGGGGTGGGAGATGGGCCTGGCTCGCTGGCTTCCGGGGATGGGGCTGCGCACACCCGCACACAGGTGCAGGTGGGGCGGCGGGCGGGCCGGGAAGCCGGCTCCCCTCACGCCCCCCTCCCCTGCAGAGTGTGGGGGGAAGAACTTCCACTTCGTGCACCGCTCGGCCGACGTGGACAGCGTGGTGAGCGGGACCCTGCGCTCGGCCTTCGAGTACGGCGGCCAGAAGTGCTCAGCCTGCTCCCGCCTGTACGTGCCGCGGTCGCTGTGGCCGCAGATCAAAGGGCGGCTGCTGCAGGAGCACGGCAGGATCAAAGTGGGCGACGTGAGTGGCGCGGCCTCCCCGCCGCGGCCCAGCGGGTGGCTGATGGGATTGGAGGCTCCTGGGCAGTGTGCGGGCCGGGGCGGCAGGGGCCGGGGGGAGCTGTGCGGGGCGGGGGCTCCCTTTGTCTCTGGCCTGCGGTGACTCCAGTTCTTCTGGTGCCTCCCTCGCCTCCAGCCAGCAGAGGATTTTGGGACCTTCTTCTCCGCCGTGATTGATGCCAAGGTACAGGCAAGAAGCAGGCGTTCCTGGGGGGCCGGGCCCTGCCCCGGGTGGGCGAGGGAGGAGGAGATGTGGGGGCCTTGACTGGGGCCGACGCGGCCCCACTGCTTCCGGCAAGGCAGCCCGATGGCCACACGGACGCCCCCACCCCGTGCTTTGAAACCAGCAGAACCCTCTGTAACCAGACAACTTGCTTCCCGCGCATCCCGCACCCAGGCCGGACAAGCCCCCACTAAGTGTAGGTCCACACGCGCACGCAGACGGGCCTGCAGGGCTGCGGCATGCTCCCAAACACGTGTGCATGCGTGTGCCCACGAACACACTGATTGGGTGTGTAGGCAGGTGTGTGGGTCACCCGTGGAAGCAGACACACCCACACACACGCCTCCGTGCCTTCTCCGCCATGAACAGATACACCTCGTGCGTGCACACGTGTTCATGTGTATGTTCGTATGCGTATAGATGGCCGTCTGCATTCACACATGTATGTGCAACAGACGTGCATATAAACATGTTATGCACGAAGGCTCGTGGCCGTGCACATGCCTGTGTGTTGTTCCTGTAAGTTTAATTGTGGTTCTCCACACACACACACACACACACACACACACTCTCTCTCTCTCTCTCTCTCTTTCTTTCTCTCTGTCTCTCACATGGGCGTGCGTGTCTGCCCTTGTTTCTGCCATGGCTTAGCCGGACCCTGGCTTTGCCCTCTCCCCACTCCCTGTTCCAGAATTTGAGCCCTTCAAGGACAAGTGTGTTGGGGGCACCGCTGTTGGGAATGGCGTCCCAGCCGGTCTGTGACACCCCCTCCTTCCCACCCATCCCAGTCGTTCGGTCGCATCAAGAAGTGGCTGGAGCACGCCCGCTCCTCACCCAGCCTCACCATTCTGGCCGGGGGCAAGTGTGACGACTCTGTGGGCTACTTCGTGGAGCCCTGCATCGTCGAGAGCAAGGACCCTCAGGAGCCTATCATGAAGGAGGTGAGCGGGGCGGGCAGCCTGGGACACAGACGTCAGTCTCTCCCCCGAGCACAGCGCACACGGGACCCTTGTGTGGCTTCCTTCTTGTGGTGCTATCCCGTTTCACAGATGGGAGTGTGAGGTTCTGGAAAGGGAGCGTCTCGTTCCCAGTGAGAGCAGAGCCAGGCCTTGAACTCAGGCCTCCTGACCCCAAATCCAGGGCTTTGTCCTTGACACTGCTGAGCCTGGCGGTGTCCTAGCACTTCCACGGCCTGTGGCAACAGCTGGGCCCTTGACTGAGAGGAGAGGGTGTTAGCATTCCCATCTTACAGATGAGAAACTGAGGCTCCGAGGGGTCGAAGCTCTTGCCCAGGATGACGGTGCAGGGGTGGCCAAGGGGACCGTGATATTGCCGGGCAGTTCCTGTGCCAGTTGCTGCCAGGAGTCTTGCTCTCGGGTGTGGGTTTGGCTGGCACCGAGGGCCAGAAAGCCTCCTGGGATCTTCTGCCAGGTTGGGATGGGGTCTGCGGGGCAGGAACCGGGTGTGGCTCCCTCCTGAGGGAGCCCGGCGGGAGGTGCCTGGCCTTCTCGCAGGTGCTGAGCTGGGGACCGAGGCGGGGGGACAGCGAGAGGCAGAGGCCGGAGCAGGGGGACTGGGAGGCCTTGGGGCTCCGGTCCAGGTGGGGTCTGACCCTGGGGCTTCTGTCTCAGGAGATCTTCGGGCCCGTGCTGACCGTCTATGTCTACCCGGACGACAAGTACAAGGAGACGCTGTGGCTGGTCGACAGCACCACCAGCTACGGCCTCACGGGGGCAGTGTTCGCCCAGGATAAGTGAGCGGCCGCTGCCCTTGCGCTCTGGCCCGGTGTCCTGCCCCACCCTGTCCCGCAACCACCCCCTGGACGGGGATCCTAGTACTAATGCCGCCCCTGCCCCTCTTCAGCCCTGACTGGCAGGGAGGCATCCCAAGCACGGGGACACAGAGGCAGCGGAACTAGATCTCTAGGGGCGGGGCCGCAGCCTACGAGCTTTTGACCAGCTCCCCTGGGTCCGATGGAGCCCCGCTCAGCAAGGTCATTGCCTCATGCTGCAGAGCAGAAAAAGTGGGCTCAGGGGCCAGGGGCTCACTGCTCATCTTGCAGAGGCCACATTTGAGCCAGGACGCCATGATCCTAAACCCTTTTCTTTTCCTTCCTCGGTGGACTAGCTGCTGCCCCGTCTGCCTCTAAGAGGGTGGAGATGAGATTGGAACCTGGGGGCAGGGTGGGGGCCTGGGGGTTCCCCCAGCTCCTGGGGGGCCAGGAATACTGGACAGGATGGGCCACTGAGTGCACGCAGCCTGACCCTCACCCTCCCGTTCCGCTCTTGTAGCAGCCCTGTGAGGGAGGCATGCTAGCCACTTCCCAGAGGAGGAGGGGCTCAGAGGCTCTCAGACCCCGCCCGAGGGGTCTAGCGCCCCTGTGGCCCGGCCCCCGTCAGCCGGGCAGCCGGTGTGGGCTGGGCTGGGGGCAGGTGAGCCGGCTGCCCTCTTACCGCTGCCCTGCCGTGTAGGGATGTTGTCCAGGAGGCCACAAGGATGCTGAGGAACACGGCCGGCAACTTCTACGTCAACGACAAGTCCACTGGCTCCGTGGTGGGCCAGCAGCCCTTTGGGGGGGCCCGAGCCTCTGGTGAGTGGGTCCTCCTTTCCAGAGGGGAGGCAGGTTCTGTCAGGAGACTCTCAACCCCTCACGTCAAGGGTGTTAAGAGTAATAGCAAACACTGTGGGCCGGAGTTAAGGAAGGTAGAATTCTTCTTCCCATTTTACAGAGGGGTAAACTGAGGCACAGGGAGCTGGAGTGACTTGCTCAAGGGCACATGGCTAGGAAGTAGTAGAGCTGGCATTTTGGTTCCAGCACTCATGCCTTTTACCACCGTGCTCTGGGTCACCTCAGTGCAACTCCTCCTATTTACAAATGGGGAAACAGGCTCAGAATGGGGCAGTGACTCACCCTGGATCCCAGCTGCCTTGGTGCAAAGCCAGGGCCAGAACCCAGGGCTCCTGGCTCCCAGTGCAGTGCTCTCTCCACAGTGCTCCCAGACACCCCTTGGCAGGTGGGGCGCATGGACCCGGGGAGCGTGGGTCCTGCCTCACCTGACCTCCGCCTGAGCACGCTCAGGAAACCCTGGCCTCGTGGACACACTCGGTTTTTGTTGAGCTGCTTATTGCCTGTGCTGGTGTCCTGGTTAGTCTGTCAGCTCTTCCCACCCCTTCCCTTCTGCCTGGACTGCCCTATCTTTTCAGAGAAAAGCAGAGCTGTCTTTTCCACAGGAACCAATGACAAGCCAGGGGGGCCCCACTACATCCTGCGGTGGACGTCGCCCCAGGTCATCAAGGAGACCCACGAGCCTCTGGGGGATTGGCGCTATGCCTATATGCAGTGAACCCCGCTCGGTGCCTCTGCTGTCTGTCCGGACGGCTGACCTCAGTGCCCTGGTCCTGCTCCAGCCCCTTTGACCTGCTCCCCGTGGGACGGCCGCCTCTCCAGGGCCGAGACTGCCCGCTCTCCCTGACTGGGCTACATCCTGGCCTGTCCCACCCCTCGGGGGCAGGTACGGGCTCTGATTTGAGACCATGCTGGGGAGGAACAGGGCTGCCACCCCTTTATCGCGGCTGTCCTAGAGATTTCTATCTGGCAGGTTCTCCGCCTGTCTTCTTCTGCGCTGTGGCCCAGAGGCTTAGGGACCTGGGGAATGGCAATAGAGTGCCTCCCAGGATCCCTTACAGGACAGGGAAGCAGCTCTGGGCCCCTTGGCGAACCTGAGCATCCACAGAGTCTCCTGGCCTTGGCCTTGGCTCCTCCAGGGCTCCAGGATGAGATGTGACCTGGGGTGGCTGCGGGGCATGGGGGCACCAGCTGGCCTGGCCTTCTTTGGTCTGGGCTGCCCACCTTCCTCACCAGCAGTTGGCCCACGCCCACCTGGGCCAGCAGGTACCTGGGCCTGACCATATGCCTTAGACACTCGTGCGCCTTTCCCCAGGGCACCTGTGTTCTCCTGAGGCCCACGTGATTCCTGGCAGTCTTCGTGTGGTGGGCTTGGGGGGCCGGCAGAAGCTACCTGCCGAGGTGCAGGATTTGGTAGGCCTTCCCGTTTGGGCTATGGTTTTGGAAAACCCTGGGTGGGCCTTTGTGCCATCTATCTCAGCTTGCCATCAGCTCGCACCTCCCTGCCTGTGTTGGCCCAGGCTTTCCTGCAGGGGCTCGGCCCTCACAGGCTGTGGTAGAACAGGCCCGGGGAGACTGCTCCCACCTTCTCCCAGCCCCGAGAGCTGGCCTTGGGTTCCCGTCTGGCCTGGGCTGAGGATGGCCCACAGAACCTTCCCTCCTTTGCACAGAGGTGGCTCTGTGTGGACTGCCCCTAGGCGGCCTGTTATTCGACGTAGCCAGCTGGTGGACACTCAGAACCCCTGCGAATTGGACTGCAGGGGGCTGAGGATCAATAAGGGGTGACGTTGGAGGACAGTTTTTACGGGGCCCCAAGAGTCCTGGCCCTTCATCAAGGACAACTAGCAGGGGTCCCCGTGGGGCTGGCCCCGAGCACCATGGTTGCACACTGTGGCCCGCGACCCGGGGTCAGGCTGCCGGGGCAGAGCGTTAGTTCTGCCTGGAGAGGCCAGGGCGGTCGGCTGGGGAGAGGCGCTGGAGGTGGGCCTTGTTCTACTGGTGTGACACTGTGAGGTGGTGGTGTGATTCGCTCTGCTGCCGTCCTAATAAATACTTGTGACTTAATCAGATTGCTGGTCTTTCTGGTGGGGGTGGTGGGGGCTGGCCAGCTTCTTCAAACAAAGGCTGATATGTTGCTCATACGTCCTTCATGTCAAGAGTGCACAGCCCGCGGTGTGTTGGAAGGAAGGGTGGACGCTGATGTTGGGGAATATGGGCTGGAGGTATGGGAATTCGGGAGTCAGATGGGTTCAGATCCTGGCTCTCTGCCTTCAGAAAGTTGTGCAGCCTCCCTGATCTTCTCTCTCTTTATCTGTGAGATGGGGACTAATACACAAACACATGCACATGCACGCTGATTGTTGTGATGACTGAATGAGTTCATACAATTGTTCAGAACAATGCCAGGTACAGAATTAATGATTCAACCTTGTTAACCACGTACACATTGCAACAGCCACTGTTACTGTGTTGTGATGGTTAAGTTGATGTGAAAACTTGGCTAAGCTAACTTAGCTGGTGCCCAGGTATTTAGTTAAACATTCTGGATGTTTCTTTCTTTTTTTTTTTTTTTTTTTTAAGATTTTATTTATTTATTTGAGAGAGAGAGAATGAGAGACAGAAAGCAGGAGAGGGAGGAGGGTCAGAGGGAGAAGCAGACTCCCCGCCGAGCAGGGAGCCCGATGCGGGACTCGATCCCAGGACTCCAGGATCATGACCTGAGCCGAAGGCAGTCGCTTAACCAACTGAGCCACCCAGGCGCCCCTGGATGTTTCTATGAAGGTGGTTTTTGGATGAGATTGACATTTAAATCAGTGGACTCCGAGTAAAACCCATTGTCCTCCATACTGTGGGTGGGCCTCATCCAATCAGTTGAAGGCCTCAATTGAGCAAAGACTGACCTCCTTCAAGCAAAAAGGGATTCTGCCGATGGACAGCCTTTGGACTCAGCTGTGACTCTTCCCTGGGTCTTGACAGCCCGCTGGCCTACTCTGCTGATTCTGCACTTAACCAAGCCTAGAAGATGGTGCAAGCAGTGTCCTTACAATAAATCTGTGTATGCTGTTGGTTCTGTTTCTCTGGAGGACTGTGTTTTCTCACACAGTCACACGCTGCCGTGCTCCCATTTCACAGAAGAGGAAACGGGTGCAGGGGATGAAGGGGCTTGCCAAGGGTATGGTCTATCACTGGGACATAAAGCCACGCCTCTGGTTCCCAAACCCATTTGCTGTCCTCCCACCCAGATGTCCATACACAGCACTGACCTGCCTTGGAAAGACCTCAACTGGCCAAATGACGGGGGTGGGGGCTGGCGAGCAACCCCGGCCAGTTAGCCTGAGCCCACAGTCTGTGGGTCAAAGTCCACGTGGGCCGGCCAACGTGGAGGGGAAACTGGCCTGGCCTGCCTCCAAAGGACGTAAAAAGGGATCCTAGCCGCGTGACACCTCCCTGTCCCGGGGTTCATTGATCGGGGCTGTTGGTGGGCAGGATCCCAGAGCTGTGGGGAGGGGATGGAGACTCTGCCCTTTGGAGTGCCCCCAACTGGCTTCCCCAGGGGCTACCAGGGATTTGTGCCAGAGGGGGCTTCTTCACTCGGGGACAAAGGGCCGCCCCCAGAGGGCCCCGGCTGGAGCTCCCGGGCGGGAAAGGTGGTGGCTGCATTTGTAGGGGGTGCGTGGGGCCGGTTAGTGTCTTTGAGCAAATGGAGTGGCTTGCTCAGGCTCACATTGACACAGCAGAGTTAGCTTTATCTATCTGGTCTCATCTAGCCGACACTGACCTTACTGGCTGTTACCTGCCTTCTGTGGAAGGACTAGTAGACGTCACGCGGCTGGTTCGTAGGGGGGCCGGGGTTTGAACCCGGGGCTGGGTGCCCACAGCCCGTGCTCCTTGCCAGCCGCTCTGTCAGGTCCATGATTTCTAGCTGTTTCTTTTCCACTGCACCGCCCCCACCTGGTGCCTTTGCCTCCTTTCAACTATAGGGCCGGGGGAGGAGGGGGAGGCGGGGAGGCGGCCCCAAGCCCTTCCTTCCCTTCCTCCGCTCTGGCGCCCTGACTTGCGGCTGGTGGCTCCTGAGGGCCCGGTGCCCGCCCCCTTTGCATGGCCGCCCCTGTCAGTGCACGTGTCCGCAGGGGCCTAGGAGCCTCCTCGTTTCCCTGCAGTGGTCGGCGGCCCGGCCACCAGTCGGGCTCGGAGCGTGAACCATTTGACTGGGGCCGGATGTCCCTGCCACCAGTGTCCCGCGGGCCACCAGTCGGGCGAGTGCTCCAGGGAAATGAGGGGCCGCCTGGGCCGGCTCCTGGCCTCCAGGCTGACCCAGAGCCTCCGTGGGGAGTGGTTTGGGGGGGACTCAAGGAAGAGGCAGGGTGGAGACCCACCCTCTTCACAAGCTTGTGACTTCGTTTTCCTGAAACCACGGCGGGCGCAGTTCCTGCGTGTGGTCTGTCAGGAGCCACATTCCGTGGCTGCAGCCGTGGGCCAGGCCTTGTGCCACGTCTTCAGAGCCTCACCGCAGCCCCTGGAGGCCCCTCTGCTACTCCCTTCTTACAGATGGGGAGACTGAGGCATGGGTGGCTGAAGTAACCCGTACACCAGCCGATGGTCCCCATCTCCGCCTGCCAGGCCTGGTGTCAGGCAGGCCTGGGCTCCAGTCCCGTCTTAACCACCACCCCCTTCCCTGAGCCTTGGCCCCCACTCCCACCCTCAGACTTGGCATTTCTTGGTGAGCTGAGGATCACATGACACGGTCCCTGCAGACCGAGGTGCTCGGTGAATAAGAACCTGTTATGTTCCACCCTCCCCCACACCTTCATCCTGGATGCCCCGGGCGTCACCAAGCACCTGTCACTGGGCCAGTGGCTCCCGCCAGTTATCTGGGGCCATACAGGAGGCGGTATTCTTTTTGCCCCATTTCCCAGATGAGGAAACAGGCCCAGGGAAGGAAGACCCGCTCAGTAAGGGGCAGGGACAGAACTTTTCCTGGGGACCATACCAGCAGCCCCTGGTCCCTTCGCCCTGGTCCCTTGCAGGAACCCAGCAGCTTCTGGGTGGGAGCCACCCAGCGAGTGGGCGGCATGAGGCGTGGCTGTCACCATGGCTCCAGACACAAGCAGCCTGTCTTCACTCTCACTCAGGTTGTTGGCAGCCTCCCTGGGTGGTGGAATGGGTGCCATACACCCCCAGGTGCCCGACGTACATTGGAATTCTGCCCAAGGGCTCTGCCGTATCCTCCCTCCAGGCCCCCTGTGGCCCGGCAGTCGCCCTCAGCCCCTGGAGCGCTTGGCACGGGGGGCCGGGGCAGAGTGAGGGAGCCGAGGTGCCGTCGGGCACCTGCTCCTTGACGTGCATCCAGCAGGCCTCAGGATCAGAGCGGGGCTCAGAGAGGGACAGGCCTGGGGGAGCTCACACAGCCTGTAAGTGGCAGAGCCAGGATCGGAAACCAGGCTGGGCAGATCGGAGCCTCAGAAGGGCCGTACAGAGTCCTAGAGCCCAGCGTTTTATCAGGGTTAAAATCGAGAGCGCCAGGCCAGGAACAAGCCCTCGACACTGTGGCGTATGACGTTTGCGATCATTCACCGAGCAGATTCCTGACGCATTCATCTCATTGACTCACCCTCATCAAGGGTGCCTGTGGCCATTTTAGAGGCGAGGAAGCGGAGAGGAGTCAGGGCCTGCTGCCTGGCCCCCGGCCCCCGGGCTGGGCTGGACCCTTAGAGCCGCAGGGAACAGGACCACCCCCTTCCCTGTCTCGGCCCTTTCCGCTCCTGGCAAGAGCTCGCTGAGTCTTCCTCCCTGGGCTGAACGTCCCTCATTCCTTCATCTGCTCCCTGTAGGACACGGTTTCTGCTTCTTGCTCCACCCTGTGGCCTCCCCCAGGGCCCACACCATCCGCTTCACTTTTGACTTTGAAACTTCTCTCAGAGGAGTGACTGATGAGGCTGGGGTCCCTGAGAACTGGCTCTGAGGCCTCCCCAGGGACCCTCTCCTCTGGGGTGTCTCTGAACCAGGGCGCTGTTTGTCTGTCAGATCTTCCCGGGGGCGGAGGTCCTGCTGCCCCTGGCCCCCCCCACGCCCCCCGCCGCCCTGGGGCCAGATTGGAGCTAGGTTTCCAGGTGCCCAATTTCGTTCTGGAGGAGGCGGCACAGGCAGGGAAGAAAGAGAAGGAAAATGCTGGGGTGGGTGGGAGGGGGGTTTGGGGGGTGCAGAGCAGGAAAGGGAACGATGTGCAAGTCGGTAGAGAGACTGGAGGGTCGGGTGGAGGAGAGGAGCTGACGCAGCCCCCAGTCCCTGGGTCAGGCCTCTCTTCGGGGCGCCCCCTGGGTTCCATCCCCCCTCCAACCACCATGGCAGGGGGAGGAGGAAGGTTCAGGGCAGCTCCTCCAGCCCAAAGCAAATGTGGCCAGTTTCTTTCCGTGAGCACAGGGGGGGAAGCAGATGCAAGGCAAATGGGCAGCTTTTCCTGATCCCCGTGTCCTTGTCCCCTCTCCCCCGTGTACTTTGCATAAGCCTGTCATGGCTCTCTGCCACCTTGGCCGCCGATGGTCACACAGGTGTGAACATGGGGACTCGGGCCTGGACTGGGCCGTGAGGGTGACAGTTGTGCCGGGTCCCGGCCACCTTGGAGCACGTGCTGTGCGTGCAGCCCTGAACGAGAGTCACAGCGCCGCGGGTTCCCAGGTGCCTGTCCTCAGCGCGGCCAGCGCCCCAGCCTCACTCACTTGCCCCTCTGTGTGCATCCATGTCCGGGGCTTTCGTCAGACTCTCAAAGGGACCCTCGGCCCTGAAATGTTAAGAAGCACTGAGTCGGTTTTACAGGTAAGGAGACTGTAGCCCAGAGAATGGCAGTGACTTGCCCAAGGGTAGTTGGGGCAGAGCAGGCCCGGAAGCCAGGACCCCTGACTCTCTGTCCAGTGCTCCTTCTTCAAGAGATTTTGGTCTTCAGAGGGATCATCCCTGTCAAGGGGGCCCCTTATTCCTTTCTCATTGGAGCCCCTCAGGCACCACCATTCCCTGCAGCCCCTATTAGGGTCCCGGATTTCTCTAATCCACATATTCGCTGTGTGGCT